TCAGGGTTTGTCTTTGACCCTTTCCAAACAGTAATTTTAATACTAGTTGAAAGAAGTTGACAAAAACTTCTGATCAGCAAGGTGTATCTGTTACGTATTTCACACTCTTAAGCTTGGACAGCAGAGGTTTTCCGATCATCATTTGGTCTTTTGGCCTTTAGGTTGTACACTATTATAAAATGGTGGGGCCTCCCCTGGTGGCGCAGCGGTTGAGCACTGGGCCGCGAGCACCGGCCCAGGTAGCACCGGTTCGTTCCCCGTCAGCAAGGGTCCCACAAAAAAATAAATAAATGGTGACTAGAGTGAGTAATAGAAGAGCAGCAAGCTGCTATCATCAGACAGACTGGCCACAGCTGAGAAGTGACCATTAACTGTTTTAAAAAAAACAAGTAGATTGGAGCATTTTTTTAAAGCATTTTTAGTGATTTAAATCACTAATCTGGGGTCTTCAACTTTAGGGCCAAAAATACCCTCAGACTCAGTAATTGGCTTTATAATGAAGACTGTAATTCATCAAGAACATGGTTAATTGTAAATTAATATTACTTCTGAGAAAACAGGACCACCCTCACTGAAATAACTTATCATTAGATACATGGAAAACTAGGATAAGCAAAACCAATTTATATCCTAAGAGTCTGAATCCTTGTGATTTGTCAGTTTGTGGATGTTTAGCCCTGACACTCTGAACTCAAAAGCCCAACAGAGTAGTTACTTGACTCCAAAAGTTTTATTTTTTGCAAATACATTTTTATGATTTTTTAAACTTCCTTTGTACAGATTCATATTTAAAATTTTACTTTTACAGTGACTTATCCCCCGCTGTTACTTTTCAAATGAGTTCTTTGTAAATAGAATACACTTAAAATTGAATAATTCCACCTTTTATCAACATTATTTCTTCTATAGTATAAATGGCCTTTTATTAAATATGTTGTATACTCTGATTTCTTAATTTTAGGGATTTTTCTACATAGTTGGAGAATTGAGAAGATGCAGCTTTTACACTTCAGTCTAATACTTATTTGATTATACTGCATATTTGAAAAGCAATTTTTCAGGAAATCTGAATTTTTAAAACCATAAAAAAATTTAAGACACTCTTTTGCACCAAACAGTTTAGAGACTCTCTTTTACTTATTGTATACAACATAAAATTCAAACTCCTTAACGTGCTATCTGCCTACCTTTTTGGCCCCAGCCTACCTCTCACCGCTCCTTCCTTCCTTCCCAATCACATTCCCTTTCCAGTTCTATGCACTTTGGACTCAAGTAATAAAAAACAAGTTACGTTACTAGTAACAGGCTGCATTCTTTCAAGGTCTGTGAGTTTGGACATATGCTCTTGTGACATTCTAGAATACTCTCCTCATTTAGCAGACCCACAGCCAAGCCACCTCTTCTCTGTGAAATCCCTACTAATCTCTAATATACTATCTGGACTTTATCTCTCTGCAGCTTTCCCTAACCTCAGAGGACAGTTGAAGATTTCCTGTGATTTTTCCAAAGCTTACATTCTATCTTATAACAATTACCCATTGTTAAAGTTGTTCCTGTGTCTTGTTTTTTCCCATTAAACTCTGCATCCCTCAACATCCCAAAGGAAAGCATCTTATTTACCTTTGTTTTTATAGCATATTTGGCTTAGAGCTTGGTATAAGCAAATAGTTCTCCAAAAAAGGGCATTAAGCTATAGTGTACCATTTAAATAGAAATTATAGGAGTCTGGAAACTAGAAGTTGAGCCCCTCAGTACTATTCAAGACTTTTCTGTGAAGTTTGCATTACCAATGCTACCTTCAGGTTTCATTACTTGAAACTGCCACTCTTTTATGACACTCCCTATTTACTTGCCTTCCCCTGTAAAAGAAACCAAGTTCCTCTTCCCCATCTCCATCTGTAGCCAGTCATGATAGCTTGAAAGATGCTGGTATATTGTACAGGTTTATTAATAATATTTAGCATTTATTGAGGATTTGCTGTATACCTCTCTCTATGCTTCTGTGTTTTTCATATATTACCTCATCTAATACAAAAATATAATGAAGAATAAGCCGTTATCCCAACTTAAGAGATAGAGCTAGAGAGGGTGAGGAATGAGGTTCAGTGAAATGAGTTAAAATGCCCAAGCCACACAATTATAGTCAAAAGTAGTCAGAATTTGAATCCAGTTAATTGAGATCCTGTTTTCTTATTCACTGCCAATGAGTATTATCTGACCATACCATAACTAAAGACTGTTTCAGCAGGGTTATTTTGTGCATTTTGGAAACATCTAGACCTGGGTTCAAAATCCATATTTAACATTTCTTATGATAGTAACTTCACTCCTCTGCCCTTTGGTTTTCTCATAGGTCAAGTAGTAATACCAAGGGTTATTTCTTTCTGGGCACATGATATAAACTAAATAGTACATGTTAGATCCATTTGCCTCTTCACTTATGTTAGATGAGCTCTGAAGGTCAGTACAGCATGAGATCTAACATAAGACGACAAAAAAGAAAGTTAGTATTCTCCGTCTTCTGTATAGTACTACCATAGTGTCCAGCAGTGCCTGCCTTCTGGGATCACTAAATGTTTTATGGCTATGATTGCATTTATTCTCTTAATGAGCGGGCATAGTTTGAGTACTTAATGTTAGTTGCCAATAAATATACTATAATAGAATAAGGATTAGAATCCATGATCTGTCTAATGTACTGGACTTCTCTTTTGCTAATTCTTAGGGAACATATGAGACTTTGTGAGTTGTTATTCATTATTTCAAGTAGTTTCCCCATAATTCCATAACATAGACCTGTTAGCATCATTCAACAAAGAGAACTATAAACACAGCTGTTATTTTGGTGTGGCTTGTGGTTTGGTTTTCTTCTTATTTGAACTTTTTTATGCAGGCAGATCGTCATCCAAAAGTAGTCATTTGGCATTTTCCCCTGCATTCTTCAAAGTTTTTTGTATGTTTAAAAAAACTTTAAGTCATTCCATAATTACACACTTACATTAATACATTTCGTCCTTTTACTAGCCAGTAGATTTTCATTTTAAAATTACAGGAAGTAGGACAGTAATAATGTTTTAATCTTGTAACTCTCATGGATCTCTTAGAAATTTGAAGAAAAAATATTTTCAACTATTAAACTTTTTTTTATTGTTTTCCAGTTAATGTCAGTATTTCCAGAGGTGGGTAGAGGGTTTGAAATTTCCTGCTTCTACCCCTCATCTCCTTCCTCTAACTCTGAGGCATCCCATAAACACTTGTTTATAGCTGAGAATTGCTATAGTAGGCCATTGCTCTTTTTAGGTCACACTGGCAGTAAGAAGAAAGGTAGATTGTACAAGGCAAACCTAGAGGCAAAAAGACCATTCGGGCATGTATAATAGTGACAAGAACTAGTAGCAGCCTAAGCCTTATACTCAGAGTGGTACTGAAGGAGTATAGACAGATTCAGGAGATGAAATTAATGAAGTTTATTGATGGGTTAGATGCTGATGAGTATTGTAGAGCTGACAGGCTTCTGGATTAGCTGCATCATGCTCCTTACTTTTCTCAGTGTGTTTGTTTAACTCCTGCTTATCCTTAAAGAATTCAGTTTGTATATTACTTATTACCTCCTTTGGGCAACCTTCCTGCTCCAGCCTCCATTGATTTTTTTTTTAAAGATTTATTTATTTACACATATAAGAATGGGGGTGTAGGCCAGAGGTGCAGGGGGTGAGAGGATTCACCAGAGACAGAGTGGGGAACAGAACAGGCAGACTGACTGAAATACACTGCTGAGGGGAACAGTGGGCAAGACAGGAGAGGTCTGCTGTGCCATGTGGGTAGCTCGCTCACCAGAGACCAAACTTATGCCTCAGTGGTGATTGCTTGACTTAACCCCTGTGCCACCAGGAAGACCTTACATGAATTAAGTGACAACTCTCCATGCTTTTTATAGCATCTGGCAATTTTCTATGAGAGCATTTGTTCAGTTTTTGTATCTGTTTTGACCCAACATACACATAATCTTCACACTTTGTTTTGTGAGACCAAGGGCTATGTCTGTCATTCATTGTCATAATTTTAGCACCTGACATTATCCTGGGGACAGAACCAGTACATTTTTGGTGAATAAACAAAGTATCATGTATAGGTGTTGCCCAGAGTGTCTGGTGCACTAATCAATTATAAAAGTTATCTGGGCCTATTTGATTCATTTCTCTAACTTTCTTTTTAAGTGTTACAAATTCTTAATACAGTTGGTTGGTACATTGTACTGACACTGGGGCTCATTTTTATGTAAATTGATTTACTTCAATCAGAAATGTCAGGACTGTGCTAATTGATAATGTGGATGAATCATTGCAGATTCCTCCTGTGCTTCAAAGAATATGCATTAGTGATCCTTTGCATTATAATAAATATGCACCTAAATTATACTGTAAAAACAGAATGATCTAAGATATTGCTTAGACAATAATTAATGCAAAAGATGAAATTATTAAGATTGAAGAAAGAAAAAAGACTAAGCTATAATTTCTCATTACCACAGGGTAGAGATAGGGGGTTAAAAAGAAAAAGGACTTGACTTCTCTAGTTTTTCCTTCACTCATCTTTAAAATTAGAGCAGTCAATCCATAATATAAAAGAATCTTTCCAGCCCCAATTCTGTTGCTACATAAAAGTAGAATAATAAAGGTGATATATGTTGGGGATTTTGGTTTCAATTAAAAATTTTCATTTTCCCATAGTTTTGGCTCTGTCTTGGTAAGACCTGACTTAAAAACTTTATTCAAATAAAATGTTTTTGTTAAGTTTAATTTAAATAAGGTGGTTTTCTAATTACTTTGGTATCAATTTTTTCAACATGGTTTGGGACACTACCCTTCATCAAAATATTTAAGATCAGTTACCACTTTAATCAATTCAAACTATAGAAAATGAATTTTTGCAATTGTAATGCCATGTAGCACCTTAATGTAGCTGTTTCCCATAACCTATGTTTCTCTTCTTTGTTTTAGATTTCTGCTTTGGGACAGCCACACATCTAATTCTTTCAAGTAGTTTTATGTGAAAAACTTGTAAAAGATTGGAACAATGCCTCCAAGACCATCATCAGGTGAACTGTGGGGCATCCACTTGATGCCCCCAAGAATCCTAGTAGAATGTTTACTACCAAATGGAATGATAGTGACTTTAGAATGCCTCCGTGAGGCTACATTAATAACTATAAAGCATGAACTATTTAAAGAGGCAAGAAAATATCCTCTCCATCAACTTCTTCAAGATGAATCTTCTTACATTTTCGTAAGTGTTACCCAAGAAGCAGAAAGGGAAGAATTTTTCGATGAAACAAGACGACTTTGTGACCTTCGACTTTTTCAACCCTTTTTAAAAGTAATTGAACCAGTAGGCAACCGTGAAGAAAAGATCCTCAATCGAGAAATTGGTATGGTATTTTCAACTAAATGGCATTGTCCTCTTATAAATTCAAACAGTATGAAATTTTATCATCTCATTACTAAAATAGTTTTCTTTGAACCAGTTAAATTACCTCTGTAATCTTAGCTTTCTTTTTTTTATTTTTATGATTTATTTATTTATATTTATTTTATATAATTGTTCATTTTTGTACAATATTTGCTTTCTCCTCTCTGGTGTAGTCTCCATAAAATTCCCACCACCAGTTCACCCGTGCACCATCACCATAGTCCCTTGTGATCTTCCCTCTCCTGTTTTGATCCCTCTCCCTCCCCGCACCCCCCTGCAGAATGTCTCTGATTTATAGTTGCCTGTTAATTTTGGTTTTTAATTTGTTGTTTTTTTTTTCCTGATCCCTTCTTTGATTCCCCTATATTCCTCTTTAAGTGAAACCATTAGGTAGTTTTCTTTTTCTTTCTGGTTTATTTCACTGAGAATATTCCCTTCTAGCTCCATCCTGTTGTAATCTTAGTTTTCTAAATAAAAATCATTATAGATCTATAGTATTTTTGATTATTGGGCTCAGAGACTTTTTTTTAATGCCTTGGTTTTATAATGTTTTCTTTAAGTATCATTTGTAGAACTACTTAGATTTATTTGTTATAACCTAGGTTTGTTTATTTATTCTTAAAAAAATTATGGATAATGTTTTTGCCTTTGTTCTAAACCAATAAATAAATATACTATATTTTGTATATTAAAATAATGGGTCCTTGTCAACTCTTACTATATATATTCATCAAAATTTTTTTAAACCAGAGAAACTTCTTTATTGTAACCTTCTCAATCAGCCAAGTTTCCTATAAGGAACATGTTCATACTGTATGTTTAATAGAAATGATATATTCTTTATATAATTTTTTAAAGGTTTTGCCATCGGCATGCCAGTGTGTGAATTTGATATGGTTAAAGATCCAGAAGTACAGGACTTCCGAAGAAATATTCTTAATGTTTGTAAAGAAGCTGTGGATCTTAGAGATCTCAATTCACCTCATAGTAGAGCAATGTATGTCTATCCTCCAAATGTAGAATCTTCACCAGAACTGCCAAAGCACATATATAATAAATTAGATAAAGGTAAGAAAATTGTCAGTGTACACTTCTGTACAATCTTTATCCTGCCTAGATGGTAAGTATACAATTCAGTACCAAGTATACAGCTTGTTTACAATATATATTTATTGATTGAATCACTTTTATGCACACGGTGCTAATACCTTGGTCAGTTATTTATCTTCAAATAAAACTGAAGAACTGAGTATGAAATTCATTATTACAGAATTAACTGATTATTTTTATAAATAAAACCAAATTAAATAGAAACAATTTATAAAACTTTATACATTCTTGTTATTATATGATATAAACAGAAACAATGTTCCTAATCATGATGTTAAGTGCAGTAACTAGGTCAAATCAAGATGAGTAATAATGTATAGGTTGACTTTTGACAATGTATCAGCTTCTAAAATTAAGTGAACATAAGAACATATACATGTTTTGATTTGGAAATAAAAATACCATTGTATCAGATAAATACCTGTTTTTGAGGATAACAAAGTAAACGTTTCAGTTCAAATAGGTTGACTCTCACAAGATTATATGTAAAATTCTGTTGAAAGGTATCTTGTTACTCTTTCACAAACATTATTCAAAGTAGTTTAATGCAATATAACATAAAATCTTTGTCTGGAATTCTTTTCTACTCTAGCATATTTTTTAATGCTTTATAAAAATATTCCTGTATACAGAAAAACTGAAAGAATTGTATTGTGAACACCCAGATCACTCTACCACAGTTTTAATCTTTTCATTTTCATCATCTTTTTAATTCCCTGGCTTAGTAATTTTAAAAGTAAAGAATTAGATAATGCATCTTCTTTCCCTGCCTCCAACATTTTTATTAATTTGATTCAGTGTTTTTCTTTTAGATAGAGGATTCTTTCCCAGAGATACCAAAAATTCTTCTATTTTAGGTTCTGTTGACCTTTGATACTATCATGAGTCACTCTTTACAGGGGTCAAATCTACATGAAGTATGTCACGTAGTTAAAATGTAAATTAGCATACAATTTGTGTGCTTGCCATTAGACATGAAATTTAGACAGGGTCTAACAGCCCTATCGGATTTGAAGAGTTACTGTTTCTACCTGATATTTACCTGTATTAACTTGATTGAGTATTATGAGTCATTTCTGATTATGGTTAAGAGTAATGACTGTGCATACTTTTTGAAATTTGTCTCTTGAAAAATTAAATCTAATGGTGAATACGTCTAATGATGTTTTCCTATTATAGGACAAATAATAGTGGTGATTTGGGTAATAGTTTCTCCAAATAATGACAAACAGAAGTATACTCTGAAAATCAACCATGACTGTGTACCAGAACAAGTAATTGCTGAAGCAATCAGGAAAAAAACTCGAAGTATGTTGCTGTCATCTGAACAACTAAAACTTTGTGTTTTAGAATATCAGGGCAAGTATATTTTAAAAGTATGTGGATGTGATGAATACTTCTTAGAAAAATACCCTCTGAGTCAGTATAAGGTGAGTAACAAGTTTCAGTTTCAAAAACATTAAGTTTAAGTTTAATATGTAATCACACTGGGGACTAGTATCTATTTTTGAAGCATACTTCTTAAAAATTAAGTATTAGTAAATAGTATTCATTAGTTTCTTTTTGTACAATAATTATTTAGTTTAAGAGACTGATGATTTAATTTGAGAGAATAGATGCTCTCTTCCTTTAGGTTTTATGTAACTAAATTTGGGGACAGAATTATATACTTGTGGCTAAGCTATATAACATTTTCGCAGTTGTAACAATTTTGCAGTGATGATTTGGTGATTACTTAATTGTGCCATGAGGTAAGATATAATAGTGTTTCAGGTTTCTATATGCATAAAATGTATCATGTGCTTTTTCTAGGTAGTACCAGTTCTATAGTGGAAATACTTTTATTGGTCAATAAGAATTTAAAATAATATGAAACTTGCCCAGCAGACATGTTGTGTACCTTAATATTTTTTAAAAAGGATTTTATTCTATTCCTTTGGATATGCCACATGAGCTATAAAGTAAATGTGCCCCTTGTTAAAAAAAAAATGTTGGCAGCTAACACTAATCTAAAAATGTGGGGTATTTCATGATTTTTATCTCCTCTCAAATAATGGCACTACTAGGAATTAAAGCAGACTTTTCCAAAAATCCATTATTTGCTGTTAATTAACATGTAATATTGGGCCTCGCCGGTGGCGCAGCAGTTGAGCGCTGGGTTGCGAAGCTGCCTGCAGCCTCTGCACTGCCGGTTCGATCCCCAGCCACCGGGTGAGGGTCCCACATGGCGCGCAGACTTCTCCTGCCGCCCACTGCTCCCCTCAGCAGTGTACTTCATCAGTCTGCCTGTTCTGTTCCCCATTCTGGCTCTGGTGAATTCTCTCACCCTCCCGCACTTCTGACTGTACCCAGTGCTTGTATGAATAAATAAATAAATCTTTTTAAAAAAGATGTAATATTAATAGTATTATTAATGTTATATTATTGTGTTAATAGTATTATTAATTATTGTATTAATAGTATTATTAATATTATATTATTGTAATATTAATAGTACCCTGCTCTCTATTTCTGTTCATAAAATAAATACCTGTAAGAAGCAACTATATTTGTATCAATCATATGCCAATTACTGATTTACAACCACATTAATACATGGTTGTGGACTTCAGATTTCTTTCAGTACAGTAGGGATTAATGATAAGAAAATAAGCTATTTTAATATGTACATAGTATATTTCTATTAAAAATCTCTATTCTAACTTCCATTTCAAAGTTCAGACTAATGTATTTTACTATATGTCCAAAAATTTTGTCATTCTGAGTGGTATTTTTATTTTTCAACAAGACAGATTTTTCTCAGGAAATGTTAGGACAGAAGAGCAAGTTGCCAATAATCCTTGGGTTGAACATCAGTATTACTTTAAAAATTATTAAATTATGTTACCTTTTATTTAACACAGTGTTGTCACAACAACTAGCCTCTGATCCTTGTTTGAGCCTGCGCTATAACCTAACCCCCAAATGTTTGTATTTTACATGTTATAAATATGGCAGCTACTAAGAACTTGGGTCTATAATGGTTGATATTTATCACTTTTGCAGATTAGGATGTAAATCCTCTCACAATACTCTTAAGATGTTGCTTCTGATATGAAAAATCTTATAAGAAATGGCTTATCATCCCCCTTAATCTTTTACAGTACATAAGAAGCTGTATAATGCTTGGGAGAATGCCCAATTTGATGCTGATGGCTAAAGAAAGCCTTTACTCTCAATTGCCCATGGACTGTTTTACAATGCCATCCTATTCCAGACGCATCTCCACAGCTACACCATATATGAATGGAGAAACATCTACAAAATCCCTTTGGGTTATAAATAGTGCACTCAGAATAAAAATTCTTTGTGCAACCTATGTGAATGTAAATATTCGAGACATTGACAAGGTAAAGCCAAATGTTGATACTTACTATTTGATATAAATTATTTTATGTAAACTTTTTTATTGAACTAATAATAATCTGGTGACCTGCAGTATGTTTTCAGATGACTAGAAAAACACCCATCTACCTTAGCTGTTACATAGTTTACAACCCTTTGTAATTCTAGTATTCTAGAAATTCTAATATCCATATTCCTAAGCCTTTAAAACCATACGTTTTACAGAATTCATTTGACAGCAAAACCTGGTGCAACCTGAAATGAATTTTTTATAACCTTTATCCTACTTAGTGTAAATATGCACATCTTTTGTTGGAGAAATATTAATGCTTAATGTCTTTATGGAGTGCTGTTCCATCTGCTAAGAGTATTAAGTAATATTTAGTATATGTACCAATATTAAGTAATATTTAGTATATATACACATTTAGTATATGTACCAAAACATGAAAAACTCTGAATGATATACCTCACTAAAGGGATTGTGTGCCTATATAATTTTTAGTAGTTAAATACCCCCTGAAACCAGCAAATTTTGGTAAAGAATCTACTATCAGTATTAAATTACTAAATATATATATGGAAAGGAAACCAGAAAAGCTATGGCTGAAGGAAACTCTTCGTTGATTCTCATATCAGTTACATTATTTTGATATTATTTAATATTGTTTCTATTGTATGTGTCTGTGTGTGTGTGTATTGTATACACATGCTTTGTTTTATTTTATTTTTTTTAGATCTATGTTAGAACAGGTATCTACCATGGAGGAGAACCATTATGTGATAATGTGAACACTCAAAGAGTACCTTGTTCTAATCCCAGGTAAGGAAGTATATGAATTTATATTTCCAAAAGTCATTCTAGTGTTTAGCAATGTAATCTGTAAAACTGGTATGTTTCACATCATTAGTTTTATTCAAGTCATGTGAATTACTAGACATTTACATATAGAACATAAAGACTTTCTGTCACATGCAGAGCAATCACAGATTACTTTATTGTTTCTCTCTCAAATTTTATTAAAAGAATTTTTCTGATTTTCTCTTTCCATTGTATCAAGAAGAGGACAGAATATGGTTATAATTCTCTTTTCCTGCTGTATCAAAGAGAGAATAGAATACCATAGAAATTTTGTGCTGATACATCATAACCATAAACCTAGCATTTTATTCTTCCTTATCTCCATTACCTTTTGCATTGAGATGATTTGCAAACAACTCCAGTGGCTACTCTGAGGCAGTTTCCTTCACATCACTCCCAAGAATAGATATTTATGACATTCAAATAAAGAGTCTTTGGGAATAGGGCCTCCCTGGTGGCGCAGCAGTTGAGCGCTGGGTTGCGAAGCTGCCCGCGAGCTCTGCGGCACCGGTTCCATCCCCAGCTGCTCCCAAGCCACCGGAGGAGGGTCCTACATGGTGCGCAGACCTCTCCTGCCGCCCGCTGCTCCCCTCAGCAGTGTACTTCGGTCCTTCTGCCTGCTCTGCTCCCTACTCTGGCTCTGGTGAATTCTCTCACCCTCCCGTGCTTCTGACTGTACCCAGTGCATGTATGAACAAACAAACAAACAAACAAACAAATAAATAAATAATACATGCCTCTTTAAAAAAAAATAAAGAGTCTTTGGGAATAAATCAATTTCTTAAGGGGAAGGAAAGTTATTGGGAGCCTCTTAAATTATTATTTGCTATCCAACAGCTGCCATCTAGCTATTTCTTTTCCTTTCTCTGTAGAGTCACTTGGAAATAAGACTCTTATCCTAAATATAATAGCAATAATATTTTAAGGAAACTCAAATTAGTATTAAAGATGGACTTTATAGACTACCAGAAATAGCAGTGAATCATCCAAAAGTGAATTTCCTTATGAAAATTTTAATATTTCATTTATAGTATAATTTACTGGTATTAATTTCCTATCTAGTTTTCCATTATGTGAATATGCTATAATTTATCTGTTCTGTTGGACATTTGGTGGTGATGGATAATGGGTGCTAGGTAGTGAGAGAATTACAGGGACTACATCTGAGGGGAGATATCAAACACTGTCCAAAAATTAATGACAATGTAAGTGAATAAATAAATAATATATAACATTAAACTAGAAAACATTCTGTGCCCAAATTCACACATTTTTGTGGCTTTATACTTAGAGGTAGAGCTGTGTCATAGGTTAAGTATTAGAAGATTATGCTTTCCCAATTGTAACAAATTTTACCTCCACTAGCAGTGTATGAGATTTTCTATTACTGCATATCCTTAACACCCCTTGACATCATCAATCTTCGTCGTTTTTGCCATTCTTTTAGATAGTAATATTTTCATGAGATTTTGTTTTCTGGATGACAAACAATATTGACTATTTTTTCATATTTATTTGCAATTTGGATATGATCTTACAAAGTGTGCCACTCTCTGGCCTATTTTTTGTTTGAATTATCTTCTTCTGAATGATTGGTAGAAGTCATTTATATTTTTGGTAATTTTTTTTTTACTTTAAACTTCTACATAGGTGGAATGAATGGCTGAATTATGATATATACATTCCTGATCTTCCTCGTGCTGCTCGACTTTGCCTTTCCATTTGTTCTGTTAAAGGCCGAAAGGGTGCTAAAGAGGTAAAGTATTTTGGAAAGGACAATTATATTTACCTCTAAAAAATTCTAACTATACTGCTGATGAAATGTTTATCAAGAAGTAGATTTTTTATTTAATAAAAATTAATCAGACATCTTTTAAATTTTAATGAATAAATGTATCCTAAAAGAATGCTTTGGGAGAGCTTCTGGAATTTAAAGATGATGAGTTTGTTCTGAGTTCATATTGATACAATTTTGAAACATGCAAAGTCTCTACATACAAATTATCTATTACATGGCTATATGCAAATATGTCTTGCTTTAGTAAATATTTTCCACTTATAACTCGAGAAAATACATGTAATTTCAATGACAAAAAAGAAAGTACTTATACTTTGAAAAATTAATGTCTTGTTATAGGTATCATTATAGTTCAGTTCTTCCTGTGGAAGATAAGTGTTTTGAAATATATTTTATAATTTAATCCATAAAGTAGTAAATATTTTTCTGCTTTTTTTAAAGGAACACTGTCCATTGGCCTGGGGAAATATAAACTTGTTTGATTACACAGATACTCTGGTATCTGGAAAAATGGCTTTGAATCTTTGGCCAGTACCTCATGGATTAGAAGATTTGCTGAATCCCATTGGTGTTACTGGATCAAATCCAAATAAAGTGAGCTTTTTTTGCTATCATAAATTAGATTTTTTTTATTGACAGCGAAACACAATGTTTATAGTAACTTCTCTTTCATCTCTTAGGAAACTCCATGCTTAGAGTTGGAGTTTGACTGGTTCAGCAGTGTGGTAAAGTTTCCAGATATGTCAGTGATTGAAGAGCATGCCAATTGGTCTGTATCCCGAGAAGCAGGATTTAGTTATTCCCATGCAGTACTGGTAAGGCACTTCACTGCATTTACTTAAGTATCACAATCAGTAGATTCGGGTACATACTGTTTGTATGGAAAAGATGTTATGTGTTTCGGTTGCACAAGCATAGAAACTATGGTCACTAGGCCAGTATCGCAATATAGTAAAATTCTCCATATACTAATATGCTGATACTTTTACTGAGGCAGTTTCTCTTCTTAGTTTATTTAGAGTCCTAGCCTGCCTTCATTTAACAAATATTTATTGAACATTGACTCTCTGTATATAGTATGTATAGAATGTATGACAGTTAGGAGGTAATAGAATTGTGACCTAAAGAAACTCCATTGAGTATGCAGTTCCATGATGAAAGTAAACATTAAACTGGTAAAAACATAAATAAAAGATTATAAATCATGGTGTATCATGAAGTTTAAAAAATAATAGTCTGCCAAGAATGAGTAAAGATTGGGGGGGGGGGGTGGCGGAGAGGTAACATATTTTAAGTTTAGAAAAAGCCTCTATGAGATAATAACCTTGAGGTTGAAACCTAAGCACAAGTATGTGGTAGGGAGCTTGGAAGCGGAGGAAATAACTTCACTACCATAGTCCATATCCCCCTAGAAAATAGTGTGTGTCTCTGTGAGTGTGTATAATTTAAATATTGATCTAGTTATCTGATCTTGGTCATAACTTTGGAACCACACTATAACTGGATTCAAGGACCATTAACTCTCCTTTATTTCTCAAGGGCAAAGGTGTGGTGCTAAAAGAAGCAGCTATTTTTGTTCTTTGGTGTCTCTTTCGCCAGTTTCCAAATATATCACTTTTTTTTTTCACCTGATTATAGGTTATAAATAGACCAACCAGTGAATATGGGGCTAAGAGATCCTGAAATATGCCTCGCCTGGTAACAATAACAGCATCACCCAGAGGCAGTCTGGAATCCTACATTCAGGAACTTTATTAGTTTACAACTGTGTTCTCAGGAAGGCATTTACTAGTTCCTTTTGTAAACTGAATAAGTACAACCTTTTTGCCTATGTCCTTTCTACTTAAAATCATTATTGAATTTTGTCAGATACAAGAAGTACATTTTTAGACATTAGAAAGGGATTCTCTCTCTTAAAATATGGCAACTATTCTCTAAGTTTAATCCTTGATGATAAATATTGCTAATATTTATCAATTGCTTATTGTGTACCAAATGCCTTATCAGTCAATTTTTGCATTTAACTTAAAAGTAGTCTCTATGAGGGGAGGTGCTATTATAGTCCCTATTTTACCAGTTAGGAAATAGACTTAAGGAATTTAATATATCTAGGGTCACTAATTAATTAATAAATATTAAGCCTCATATTTCCATCATTCTGGAATTCTTTAAGTTTGGAACTGGAATTGAAATACTGATGTGCATTCCCATGAAATATTCATAACCCTGCCCAATTGGTTATACTTATAAACTAACTGAATTACCAAGGTCAAGTCATTTGAAAACTCATTTATCTACTATTTTAATCATATATTCAGTCACTGAACTCAGTTTTCCACCAGGTCTGTTGGAGTCACTTTTAGCTTTTGAGTTTCTATTTTGAGCAGTTCTCTAAAGGATTGATATTGTATGGTTTTATCCCTCCTTGGAAAAATTTTTCTTCCAAAGAAATAGGAAAACCTATTATTTTTGTAACAGAATTCTTTACTAGTGTGTCTACTGAAACCTTTTATAAATCTGAGATATATTATGAGATCTTATTTTTGTTATATGTTAAAACATTTTACTATTTCATCATTACTCATCAATTCCAACTGCTTAAAAAAAAAAAACCAACCAAAATAATATGATAAATAGGCTAAAATAGCCTGGACGAAGGACACAATAGTGAAAATATCATCACTATTACATCATCTTTCAGTCTTAAATGTAGCAGGCAGTCATAATACAAAGATGAGTTGAAAGGAAAAAAGTGATATAGAAATTTTTAATTCCTTGGGTTGATTATTCTGATTGATACCTGTAAGTATAAAAATAGGTGGTAGCACTTTCTGCCTGCTTGTATCTATGCAAGTGTCTTTTATTCTTCTGTCCCTTTTCCTAATAAACCTGCTCCTTAAATATGAAAAAGGTGTGTTTTATAATTATAAAGCAAAGAAAGTAACTGCCTTCTGTTCAATAAAATTATGAGCCATGAAATTTCAAAAATGTTGCATTTTGACTATGCAAGCTAGAACTTACTTGATTTGTATTTGAAATCTAGCATCAATATATGTAACATGGAATGTTCCAGATTTATGCATGACAGTTGATGAGCAAGCATCTAGCAGTTGAGTTAGTTGTACTCAAGGCTATTGCCCATTTGGGATTATGAATATGATTTTGTATGTTTAAATTCTTAATATGTCTATAAATTTATTTTTTACCATCACTTTATTCTCCTCAAATTATATTAAATAATATAACAAAATTATTAAATAATATAAAGGAATTAAGAGTTCCATTGGATCCAAATGATAAAAGCTACTGACTTCCTGATGAGTGGAAAGTTAAGTATTTATTATCTCTTACCTGGACTATTACAATGTCCTCTTAACTGGTCTACTTTCCATAGAGCACCCAGAAAAATCTTTGTGAAGCGTAAGTTAAATCTTGGAATTCAACCTTTAAAATAGATTTCACTGAAAATAAAGTCGAAACCTCTAGCCTGACCTGCAGGTTGTAACTGCTGCACACGCCATCTCTTGTCAGTACTGTCCCTCACCTGTTGGCATTCAGGTTCTCTTCCTATTCCTCCTTTGCACCAAATTCATTTTCTCCTTGAGGCACTTTCACTGTTTCCTTCATCTGCAGGAGTTTTTCTCTAATCTTAGTGTGAATGGTTCTTTCTGGACATTCGGATCACAAATTAAATATTACCTTCTCATAGGCCTAACGAAGCCATTCTCTGTAACAACACCCAGAGTAGATCATTCTCCATTATTTTTATTTGTTCATTTAATGTCCCACCATAATAGAGGCCCTATTAGTGCAAGATGCTTTACTGTTTATGAACCTAACAGTAAGACTGAGAGGCACATTATTCCTCTTTTAATAAAGACTTGTGAATGAATATGTGCCAATAGTTTCCTCATGCAATTGAATAAGCAATATTTATAAATGTCTAAAAACCAAGTAGTATGGGTGTTTGCTTTCATTTTTAGCCATTCTAAGGAGTATGTATTTGTTGTTATAGTACAATAATATGCATTTGTAATTATTTATTATGTAGTAAGATTTCCATATTTGAAGGAATAAATACAGTACTTGGAATCTTGAAGTTATACAAAAAGTTATGGTGTTTCTTTTTAGTTTCCTAATGTTTGAATGCACGATGTTTCAATGGGACTGTTTTGCCTCTTTTTTTCCCCTTATTTATTTTCACTTCTTAAATTTGAAAGCCCTGTAGTGATTATATAGATATATTCAGGCAAAGAATTTGCATTTTTACTTTATTATTTTGTTATTCCAGAAACATTAGCCGATTAACACTAGGTAGATCTCATTAGGTGTAGAAGTTAGTTATGCACTAATACTTATTAGATTCCCAGTCTGATCTTGCCTCTGTGTTCTTTAGAGAGATTGGTCTATATTTTCTTTATTTGTATTGTCTTTGTTTGGTTCCAATCTGGTCTTATCCCTGACATTGCAGCTGCAGAGGTGTGTTCCTTTGCCTTGGTAGTTACATTCTCTGATTGGTAACAATATTAAGCAAGTAAGTTATTGTATTTGACCTAGAAGTACTGACTTAAAATAAAAGCTTACTATGAGAATAAGCTGTTTCACAATGGTTAACAAGCAGTGTAAAATTTATTGACAATGTTCTTTTTTTGTAGATCATTCATGAATACAAGGGGGGAAATATTGGCAAAGAAAACTATGTAAAATATTACTGTATTTTACAGAGTAACAGACTAGCTAGAGACAATGAATTAAGAGAAAACGATAAAGAACAACTCCGAGCAATTTGTACACGAGATCCTCTATCTGAAATCACTGAGCAAGAGAAAGATTTTCTGTGGAGCCACAGGTAAGTTTTAACAGAGAAATTCTGTTTCTTCTGTTATAGAAGAAAAAACCGACTTGGGCTGTTTTGTCTTATTTCTATCACATCTATTAAATTAAATAAAGCATAATTTACATGACTTTTTATTATATTATCCTTTTTAAAACTAACTTTAAATCAATATCTCTGGAAAATCATGTTGCATTGGTTCTAACTTTGAACACTGAACACTTTTTTTAGATCACTGATATGACTTTTTAAAGGGGTTTTCTTTTTATAATTGAGATAACGTTGGTTTACAATATTATGTGTGATCCAGAGGCATAGGAAACTCTTCAGAGGCAAGTCCTCCCTCCACACCCACCACCAAGGCACCCACAGAGTCTTCCACCATAGCCCCTTATGCCCTGTGTTCCACCTCCCTCCACCGTGCCCTCTTGTAGCCTCAGTTCCGGTCAATTTTTTAGGATTTGTTATTGGTTTGGTTTTATCTCACCATTTGTTTTGTTTCCCTGGATTCCACATATAAGTAAAGCCGTAGGGTATATGTCTTTCTCCTTCTGACTTACTTTATTTTGCTTAGCATAATCCCCTCCTGTTCCATTCATGTTGTCATGCATGGCGAGAGTTCTTCTTTCTTACAGCTGAGTAGTATTCCATTATGTACATATTCCACATTTTTCTAATCTAAAATATTTCTTTAAATAAATTAAAGGTCAAAAAAAAACCTCAGTGGTTTTAGATCATTTTGGTTGGTCTACATATTTTTAAGAGTTCCTTCTGATTTTTCATTTTTTCTGACCTTCCTCAAAGTAATAGTATAATGACTTATTTCTCATAAGAAGACATTAGCCTATAACTAGGTAAATGTACACTGATTTATTAACAAAGCAGTTGTTGTCCATTAACACCTATTTTGTCCAGTAAAATTGGTGAGTCTTCTTATGATTCATGTTGCATAAATAGGTGAGTAATGGGAGTTGTGTACTGTTATAAAATAAGTTCAGTATTTTTCCTAAGTACCTGTCCTCCATTTGGATTTTCCTTTTGTCTTCCTTGCCATTATAATTGTGTGAGTATATATTTATTTATATGTACAACTATAGTGTTACACACTATAATATTAAACACTGATTTCATTTGATTTTAAAGGCAGCTAGTTATGGTAAGAAATTTTAAAAGTGTTTCAAAATTTCTGAAGATTGCATAATTGAATTTTTAGATATCTGGGCCTTTTGGATAACATGCAAGAATGTTTTTTATTTTGTCTTTTCCACACAGGCACTATTGTGTAACTATCCCTGAAATTCTACCCAAATTGCTTTTGTCCGTTAAGTGGAATTCTAGAGATGAAGTAGCTCAGGTAAATGCATGTTTGAGATTACTGAATAACTGTTGCACAGAGTTGGGAATGTTGCTCAAGTTGTTTCCTCTCAAAGTCTATCTAAATACAAAAGCTGAAATAGACTGTGTTTTAAAGTGATTAATAATCGTACTAAAGTGAAGAAAAATACCATTCACACCACTTCCTCTGATTAACTAATTAGAACTGACAATTTTAAGAACTGAATTCGTAAGGGTGAGGGTACTTTTACCTAAACAAATTTTAAAATAAAAAATTAAGACATGCTATCTTGAAGGGTTAGTTTAGTACTCTTTGCTTTTTAAATATGATTTATTTCTTTATTATATACAGATGTACTGCTTGGTAAAGGATTGGCCTCCAATCAAACCTGAACAGGCTATGGAACTGCTGGACTGCAATTACCCAGATCCTATGGTTCGAGGTTTTGCTGTTCGATGCTTGGAAAAATATTTAACAGATGACAAACTTTCTCAGTACCTAATTCAACTAGTACAGGTAATGTGTAATGAGAAAATAGTGTTATATTCTAAATTCAAAATATACTACTTTACTGGCTATGTTCTCTTTTTACAAATTAGTTTTATTATCAGTATCTACTTTCTTTCTTAGAAACTTTCTTTAAATCCAGCCATGCAGAAACTGACTCTAAGATAGAGGATTTTTTTTAATGTTTATTTGTTTTTAATCGCATAGGTCCTGAAATATGAACAGTATTTGGATAACCTGCTTGTGAGATTTTTACTTAAGAAAGCATTGACTAATCAAAGGATTGGACACTTTTTCTTTTGGCATTTAAAGTAAGTCAGATTATTTTCCTGTTAAATTCTTCAGCTATATATTACTTGGGTTTTTTTAGCATATGGGTAAATATGCATTACTTACACACTGTTGTCTTTCTGAAAGTTTTCCATACTAGAAGTATAGTCTACCAGTGACAAGCTTCCCCTCAACTACTTCTCTTTAATATTAAATAAGCAGTAAAATTCTAACTAAATATACACAAGAGTGAGACCAAATTATTTTTTTTAAAGATTTTTTGATTCTACCTTAAATAAAGTTTTTTAGGTCCAAATAATGTTATCATTGGCTTTACTCTATAAAGGGATTAAAATGTGCCAAAATAAAAGAGAAAAAAGTCTTTACTTTGGAATTCAGAGCAATAAACACAAAATCCCAAGTTTCTTGCTAGAAAACAAGCTAAAAGAATAATATGCTCTATCTCATACTCAATGTTAGAGGTCAACAAGTCATACACATTTTTCTATGTGTAGAAACAGATTTTTTTTTTAAAGATTTATTTATACAAGAACCGGGGTACAGTCCAGATGTGTAGGAGGGTGAGCGGATTCACCAGAGACAGAGTGGGGAACAGAACAGGCAGACTGACGAAATACACTGCTGAGAGGAGCAGCGGGTGTGACAGGAGAGGTCTGCACGCCATGTGGGACCTTCGCCAGTCAGCGGGGATCGAACCAGTGCTGCAGAGACTGTGGACAGCTTCACAGTGCGGCACTCAACCGCCTGCGCCACCAGGGGAGGCACAGAAACAGATTTTTAATTAACCTTATTTTTAAATGTTAAACTCAGTTGAAACTGGATCTTGAAACTTGGTTTAAAATTGCTATAATTCAAAGAGAAAGAATATAGAAAAAGGGGCTAGGATGCCAGAAGAGTAAAATAGTACTCACTGAGCTCTTCAGTCCCTCCCTCTTTATCTTATTGTTTTTGTACCTAATTTCCTTTTTTTCACATTTCATTTTAGTAAATGAAAAGTACTTGAAATAAACCTAAAAGCTATTTTATTAAATTGATATTTCCAGGACGTACCTAAACTCCTGCTTGTTTTACTTCTAAATGATAGGTTTTAAATCATTTTATTAGTAGCATGATTCTAACATTCACTGAATTAGAAAACAATTTTCTTTTCTTTTTTTTTTTTAAAGATTTATTTATTTATTTATATAAGCACTGGGGACAGTCAGAAGTGCGGGAGGGTGAGAGAATTCACCAGAGCCAGAGCGGGGAACAGAACAAGCAGACTGACAAAATACACTGCTGAGGGGAGCAGCGGGCGCGGCAGGAGAGGTCTGCGCACCATGTGGGACCCTCGCCAGCAGCTGAGGATCGAACTGGCGCTGCAGAGGCTGTGGGCAGCTTCGCAGCCCAGCACTCAAGCGCTGCGCCACCAGGGGAGGCCCAAAAATAATTTTCTTAAAAATGATTTTATACACACACTCACATACACACACATGTGTACATGCACACTTATTTTTTTATCTTTCAATGTTCCTTTAGATCTGAGATGCATAATAAGACAGTTAGTCAGAGATTTGGCCTGCTTTTGGAGTCTTATTGTCGTGCATGTGGGATGTATCTGAAGCACCTGAACAGACAAGTTGAAGCTATGGAAAAGCTCATTAACTTAACTGACATTCTCAAACAAGAGAAAAAGGATGAAACACAAAAGGTTTGTGACTCTTTAGTTTGTTTTTGAGACATTTCATTGCAACAGTGGTGGATTCTTTGAGAGCGCAGTACATATGTAGATCATGGGCCTTAAAATCAAGATCAGGATTTGGATCTGAGAAAGCGTTGACTGCTACTTAGCACTGTAAATTTAGACACATTATTTAGTCTCTTGATATTTTCCTCATCTGTATTATGGAAGTAAGAATTTCTTCATTGGATTGTTGTGAGGATTAAATTACATGAGATATGAACCTGTCACAGTCATTACAACTTGAAGGGTACACAGTAAATATTAGTTCCCTCTTCATCCCCTTCCTTTCTGTTTTAGATAAACATAAATTTTTTAATGAATTTTTTCCTTACTCTGTCATTTATCATTTTATGATGACCCTGAAAATAAGTGGAAAGAAATGTTTTTGCATTTCTAAGTTTAAAATGGACTCTTAGACAATGAATATATCATACATCCTAAGCTACAGTATAATTGTTGCAGTATAGCAGGGCAGCTTAGTCTAACTGAAGAATATGAGTAAAGATTTTTCATGACCTTTTCCTACTTTATATTCTTTATTCAGTCCACCCATCCAATAGTAAAAAGTAAGATCATTCTTTACATATAGTGAAATGGAAAAAAAAAAATCCAAGTTTATTAGGTATCCCAAAGAATGTACATTATAAATTAACAGTACTGAATGAATTTTCCAACATCTTCATTAATATAACTTGAAGAAAAAAAATTAAAATTACTGTATTAATCTAAATGTCTTACTGTATGTGACTGATTTGATTTTCTTGAAGTGGTAGTATATAAATCCAAATATAGATTAATAGAAAATAATTGTACTTTTTCTGACGCTAGAATTGTGAATAAGAGACTAAACTGTCTCAAAAGAACAGCATATATTATAGTATAACTGAGGTAAGAAAGAAATTGACATTAAATTTGTAAATACAGGCATTTCTTGTAAGCTGGAATTTTCGTATCAGTTTGGGTAGGATCCAGTAGATTAATTAGCAACATGAAATGTATTACTCTAATTAGAATGCAGCCAATCCAGGGTATGGATTCAAAGATTCTGCAGCACTGAAGTTCTAGTGTCTAAACGAGATTAGCAGTTAGTTTTTTTACCTTTTATGAAATCAGTTTCTAACCATGAGTATGTTTATTTATCAGGTACAAATGAAGTTTTTAGTTGAGCAAATGAGGCGACCAGATTTCATGGATGCTCTGCAGGGCTTTCTGTCTCCTCTGAATCCTGCTCACCAACTTGGAAATCTCAGGTAAAGTACCTAATTGGAAGTTTTACTGATGTATTTAAGCAAGTACCTTTCTGGAGAAAATCTTAGGAAAAGTGAAAATGTCCGTTATAGTTAAAATACTCATTTATAAATGCTTACCTCTCCCATTCTCCTACCTGAAAAGTAAGAGTATTAGATTTTCAATTCAGATCTGCATTTATTCAGAATCAATTTTTACTACTTTAATGATAGCCTTTAAAACTTTCTATGGCCAGAATTTCTTTATAAAGGATAAGAAATGGAATATAATATCTGTAAAACTAATAATGTATCACTGTATTGAAGGTTCATGTAGTTATATAAAAAAAATTTTAAGCTTAATGTTTAATTTTTCTTTATTCTCTTAGAAATGAATTATGATTTATAATTGAAAAGAAAGTTTTAAATTTTATAAAACTTCAAACAACTACAATGTATGTATTCTTAATAAATTTGAGGGTAAAAGGATTCACAAAGCTAAGGTGCCTAGTAAAGTTTTTAACTGTCTTAAAGGCTTGAAGAGTGTCGAATTATGTCCTCTGCAAAAAGGCCATTGTGGTTGAACTGGGAGAACCCAGACATCATGTCAGAGTTACTCTTTCAGAACAATGAGATCATCTTTAAAAATGGTGATGGTAAGGAAGAGTATTAATGAACTTGTGATGCATGAATTTAGGTGTCTTTTTATATGCTGAGTATTTATGAACTTTGAAAACCATTTAAGGAATATACATGTGGTAAAATATATAATATTAAGTAAATGTCTGTCTTTACGATGTGCACATATAATTATTAAAAAGAAAAGAAGTAGTAGGTTTAGAATCAGAAAACCTGAATCAGTTCTATCATTTGTTTAGCTGTGGAAGTATCCTTTCATTCCATACATAACTGATGTGCTAGCCCATGGGGCTTTAAGAATCAGTAAAGCCAAACCTTTGTACTCTTAAAGCTTATAGTCTAGTAAGGAAAAAAGGAGACCCTAAGCAGATACTTACAAAAATAAAATTATAATAATGGTTCAAAGGAAAACTGTAGTCTACAAAGGAACCATGTAGAAAAAGTCCCAACACACTGGAAAACAGACTTGGGGGGGAACGTGGGAGGATCATAGATGGGTTCCCACTAGGAAATGACATTTCAGCACTGAATTCTGTTTATCCTAGTATTATGATATAAACGTTCAAATTCAAAGATTCAGAAAATTAAGTACAGATCTTTTGCAACTTACAGTAGGACTACACCCCTAAAAGCCTATTATAAATCAAAATTGTCATAAATAGAAAATGTATTTAATAGACCTAACATACTAAACATCATAGCTTAACCTAACCTATCTTAAACATGTTCGGAACATTACATTATCCTATAGTTGGACAAAATCATTTTAACAAAGTCTATTTTATAATAAAGTATTAAATATCTTATGTAATTTTTTGAATTACATGGCATAGCTGACCAGGAACTGTGAACTGCTCCTGCCCAGCATTAAAAGAAAGTATCATACTAATTATTGCTAGGCCAGCAAATGATCAAAATTCAAAGTTACAATTTCTATTGAACATGGACCACTTTCGCAATATACAAAGTCAAAAAAATTTCAAGCCAAACCATAAGTCAGGGACCATCTGTACTTTAAATATTTTGATTTGAAACATTTGTGAAATATATGCTAGTTTATCTACATTGATATACAGATTTGTTTGTGCAGTATTTTAGAAATGGTTTAAAGACTATAGCTTTATTTTATTTTCCATTTTAAAACAGTGTGATGACATGATACCCAAAATTTGCATTTGTGGCATTAAGTGGTGGATACTTTTTGAATTTCAGATTTACGGCAAGATATGCTAACTCTTCAGATTATTCGCATTATGGAAAACATCTGGCAAAACCAAGGTCTTGATCTTCGGTAAGTAACCAGTAAAGCAACATGTATATTGAAAATCATTCTGAAAAAGTAAACTATTAGTAAACATTACTTACATAAAGCATATAGCCACTTATACCTATGAAGAAATATATGGACTATTAGTTAACATTAGTTGATTACACTGTGGTACTTTCATTAGTCTTTTTTCTTGGCTTAATATAGCTAATGACATATACTTCCAACCTATAGACAATAAAGTTAACCAACATTACTTCAATTAAAAAGGAAAAGAATAGCTAATGAGATTCAGCTAGGGAAGAAGAGCTATCTCTAATAAGCTAATAGACTCAGCAACTGGAGTGTCACTGTTAGGAACAGGACCTAAGACACACAGAAGGCCTCTGTTTTCACTCAGAAATTAAGAGTTTAAAAGAAAGTTTCATTGATGATGGTGCATGGGTGCATTGGTGATGAAAATTCTATGGGGACTACACCTGGGCAAGGGGGGGCGGCAAATATTGTTTAAAATGAACAATGATGTAAAAAATAATTTAAAAAGTTTATAAATCAATCCTTTTATTTCTAAATAAAATCTTATTTTATTTTAATCTTAAAGTTTTTGCCATCCCATTGGTTTCTGCCCAACTTTCTACAATTATCAGTATTACATTCAAGTTTTCTTTTATGCTTTGTTTTCTCCTAGTCATTCTTTCTAATAGTGTTTCCTGCATTTACTCATCTCTTTGCTAATCCAGAGTCATTCAGACAAATACCACCCTTTATAAATACTTGCATCTGTAAGTGGGCCTAGGAATCAACTCTGGCTGAAATAACAGGGTAGATTAGGGTTTATTTGAATGCTTCTCATATATTAAGAGTAGCTAATGTAGGGCCTCCCTGGTAGCGCAGTGGTTGAGCACTGGGCTGCGAAGCTGCCCGCAGCCTCTGCAGCTCCAGTTCGATCCCCGGCGGCCAGGCCAGGGTCCCACATGGCGCACAGACCTCTCCTGCCATCCGCTGCTCCCCTCAGCAGTATATTTCATCAGTCTGCGTGCTCTGCTCTCCCCTCTGGCTCTGGCGAATTCTCTCACCCTCCCACGCTTCTGACTGTACCCAGTGCTTGTATAAATAAATAAATAAATATTTAAAAAAAAAAAAAAGAGTAGCTACTGTATAAGATTGTTTTGGTAACAAATAGTAGTGTTCTTTAATTGCAAAGAAGAAAAATGGAGTGTTAAGTAACCTGCAAAGGCATAAAATTAAGTCATCAGCTTCAGTTCTTAATTTCTGATTCTTTGCTTAATCCCCACTGCTTTCCAGAAACAGTGTAATGTGAGTCAGTCACCTTTTTTGGTGTAATTCCTGTTCATGAGATACCCACAAGCCATTACTACGACAACCTCTAGGGAAGTAAAGTACATAAGAGGAATGCAGAACTAGACTGAGGAAAGAAAAGGATTTAACTGTATTGCTGCTAGTCACAATATTTAATTGTAAATTTGCAACTACAAAAAAAGCACAGTTAGGTCACGGAAAAGTAGTTAGATCTTTGGAAAATTTTTAAGTCTTATAATATTTTCTAAATATTTTTCTTTGAACTTAAGTAAATTTAAGTAAAAAAATTATTGAAAGGTTAATAAGTACATTTCATTAAAACCATAGGATTTTCATTTACACCTGTCAAAACTTAGATTCATTATTATAGCTATGTTTGGTGGTGGATGTTATTGTTTTACAACATAACTTATAGAACTGAGTGACTGGGTGACTCTTTATGAAGATGTTCAACATTAAACAATAAAATTAAAATGTAAAGTAAGAATGAGCAGGAGTACAACCTTAAAAAATTCCTATAATTACCAAGGGATAGGAAAAAGGATTACAATAGAGAAATTGTCAAAATGAGTTAGGAGGACCAGAATAAGTACTCACAGAACCCAAAACAGGGAAAGAGTCACAGTTCAAATTCTCAGGTGCTTCTGGCTGTGTTTGAGACCATAGAGACTATGGGGAAGCCCTTGGATTTGATGAGTCATTGGTTAGCTTTAAGAAGAGGTGACTTAGTAGATTGGTAGGCTACTAAGTTAGGTTACTAGGAATTAAGTGAGAAAATGAAAATTAGTACAAGCTATTATTCTTGTAGGAACTTAAAGGAATGGTGACAAAATGGACAGTCACTTAAGAGAACAGCAAAAAATAGCATTCTGTGGTTCTAAGGTACCAATTGGAATGTTGGGTGGTTTTTTTCATTGTCTCTAAATCCTTACATCTCCACCCTTGAGTACCTTTCTACTATTCTATGTGATAATTTTATGGGAAGTACCCATAAAATTTGCCTGCTGCTTACCAAAGTATGATGGTTGTGTCAAGGAAAAGCATTTCTAGGTTATTTGAGTTGTAAACCGAACTACTGCTTTTTTCATGAAACACCATATTTACTTACAGAATAAACAACTGATAGTATTTGTTGTCAGTGATCAAATTTGAGCTTTAAAGAAAAACTTAAATTTTTGAAAGCCTTATATTTACTGCTGTGAGCATAATAGCTTACCCCAAATTTAAATATTTCTGATGAGATCAGTCGTGATATTAATAATTATGATAGAATTTATTTGGTATAATGAAGTCTCCATAACTCATTGCTAATATCTTCCAAATGACCAAAGCAGAATATTATAAAGTCACATATGGACACAAATTCCATTCAGAGGCAAGACAGACAAAAGAATTTTAAAGTAACAGTATGAAAAGTTTATTGACACGGTTTCAGAGTCCATATTGCAACTTGAGAAACTATCTCATCAAGTTTTTGAATAATATCAAAGAAAAATAACTGCAGCTATCTTTTTCCAACTACGTATCTGTGTGAAGCCAGATTTTCTCATGTACTTCAATTAAAGCATTGCATTTCCCTGAATAAACTAGTATATATGAAAATCCAGCTCAGTAGTATTGAACGAGACATTAAAGAAATTTGAAAGACTGGAAACATGTCACTGTTCTCACTAAGTTTTCTTTTAGAATTTTTGCTTCATAAAAGGTGTTATTTATAATGCTATGTATTTTGTGATCTTAAGATGAATTGATAAATATTTTTCTCCATTTTAATTTCTACTATCAGAAGATGCAACCCACATAAATAAAAGTTTTTGGAATCCTTTTATTTTAGGAGTCTAAAGGAGACCTGAGAACAAAAATTTAGATTTACTGCCCTCAAGTATTATTTAAATTTTAATTAAGCATCTTTAAATTTACCCAGTCAAAAATGTTTATAAAATTTTAATTTTATAATTAATTTATAATTTTCTTAATGGTTTTCTGATGTACAATTAAGTGCTTTCTTAATTGAAGGTTATGGTAAATGATGGCAAATAATTTGAGGATTTTTCTAGGAATGTTTGTTATACTGTAATAAAAGAAAATTAAAATTGAGAGTAAATGTCATGATGACAAATTTACACATAGAATATCCCCATGTTAGCCTATTAAAATATTTACTATTTTAAGATCCTATTATTTAATTGCAAATGTCCTGATCCTTTTTTAGAATGTTACCTTATGGTTGTCTGTCAATTGGAGACTGTGTGGGACTTATTGAGGTGGTGAGAAATTCTCACACTATTATGCAAATTCAGTGCAAAGGCGGCCTCAAAGGCGCACTGCAGTTCAACAGCCACACACTACATCAATGGCTCAAAGACAAGAACAAAGGAGAAATGTGAGTTTATTGTTCTTTACTTCCCATGTTAATCTAAATTTTTGTTAGAAAAATCTTTGAATGGTTATATATACTTCTGTGAGTTAGATCACAGAAAACAATTGTACTTTGCTTTGAAAAATGTCAACTTTGAAATGAGATTATTGTGTTTAAATGATCAGAATTGCTTATAACTTAGAAAAATCTGTACCTCCAACTTTTGTATCTAAAATGTGTTTTCTCCTATTGCTATTCTTTTTCTCAAAATTAGCATTGCACGTACAGAACTTTACTTATAATTCATTGTTGAAATGATTATAAAAAATTCATTTTAATGACATAAGTAATTATTATGACTATAAGAATTATGCTTTGGTTAGAGAATATTTGAAATTTCCTTAGAAACCTTGGAAACTTCAGAGTCACAAGTTTCCTCAGATTTTTTAACATAATTACACCCTGCTCTAATCCAGTGGTTGTTTTCATTGTTTAAATAAAAACTGACGATCTTGTCCCAGTTGAAGCTGGATCACTCTGTAGTTCACTCTGGCTATGGTGTTTGTTTCTTCTTCGTAGATATGATGCTGCCATTGACCTATTTACACGTTCATGTGCTGGATATTGTGTCGCTACCTTCATTTTGGGAATTGGAGATCGTCACAATAGTAACATCATGGTTAAAGATGATGGACAAGTAATAGTTTTCTCCTTTTTAAATGTTTGCATTTTTTAATTTATTGTATTTCTGCATTGTCAAACTGACATAATTTCGTATTTTTGAAAGCTGTTTCATATAGATTTCGGACACTTTCTGGATCACAAGAAGAAAAAATTTGGTTACAAACGAGAACGTGTGCCATTTGTTTTGACACAAGATTTCTTAATAGTGATTAGTAAAGGAGCCCAGGAATGCACAAAGACAAGAGAATTTGAGAGGTAAGCTTAAGAAAGCAAAGGCACAAAATAAAGAATTCTCGCTGCTTTTCAAAGACAATTGATATTTATGAAGCAATTTACAATAATAGATGTCATATTAACTTGTTAGCATCAACTAAATATTTAAATATTTTTATTTTATTTATTGTGTAATACTATGAAGGAAAATAGAAACAAAACCAAATTTAATTCATTGAGTTAACTAGGGCCTAAAAAGTTATCCTTAAACTTCATAATACTTTAAAAGTTTTTATTTACTGGTTTTTAAATAATTGGACTCCACCTTCACCACTTTACAATAATAACAAATAATATGTAGCACTTAAAGCAGTACTTCTTGCTTTTACGATTTAAGGAATTCAATGAACTATAATTACCATTTTCAAACATAATTTCTCTTACCACTATGCTTTATCATTAGTGCATCCTAAACCTTAAAGTATTTTTGAAACCTGTCATAAGTCTTGTTTCATCTGTGACTCAGTATCTTGGCCCCAGCCTAAACCCTAAAGGCTTTAATATGGAGCAATTTGTATTTTCAATAAATCCTTACTAAATTCTTTTATATCAGGCATTGTTTCAGGTGCTGGTGATAAAGCAGTAAATAAAGTCCTTACTGACTCCCAGAACTAACTTGGTAGTGCAGGGCAAAAGGAATAGAAGTATTGCTAAGGGGAATGAGAAGACTACTGTTTTTCTAAGTTTGTCCAAGACGGCCTGTAATGATGTGACTACTGAGCAGAGACCTGAAGGTGTTAATGCCAGTTGCTCCATACTGACCAAACTGTTCTTATTAATTGTAGGTTTCAGGAAATGTGTTACAAGGCTTATCTAGCTATTCGGCAGCACGCCAATCTCTTCATAAATCTTTTCTCAATGATGCTTGGCTCTGGAATGCCAGAACTACAATCTTTTGATGATATTGCATACATTCGAAAGACCCTAGCTTTAGATAAAACCGAGCAAGAGGCTTTGGAATATTTCATGAAACAAATGAATGATGCACATCATGGTGGCTGGACAACAAAAATGGATTGGATCTTCCACACAATTAAGCAGCATGCTTTGAACTGAAGTGATAACTGAGAAACTGAAATCTCGATATCTGGATTCTATACTGCACTGTTAATAACTGTCAACAGGCAAAGACTGATTGCATAGGAATTGCACAATCCATGAACAGCATTAGAATTTACAGCAAGAACAGAAATAAAATACTATATAATTTAAATAAAACGCAAACAGGGTTTGATAGCACTAAACTAGTTCATTTCAAAATTAAGCTTTAGAATAATGCGCAATTTTCATGTTATGCCTTAAGTCCAAAAAGGTAAACTTTGAAGATTATTTGTATCTTTTTTTAAAAAACAAAACAAAAAATATCCAAAATATATAGAAATGACGGAGAAGGAAAAAAAATGATGTTCTCTTTTTGTCCTGCAAGTGTTCTATGTTTTGAAATGTGGACACAACACATACAAAGTCTATCACTGCATTAGGTCCAACCAAACTGGAGTTTGATGTTAAATTACATTAAGATTGGAAAATAATGAAATTTCTTATTTTTCCATTGCTGTTCAATTTATAGTTTGAAGTGGGTTTTTTGACTCCTTGTTTAATGAAGAAAAATGCTTGGGGTGGAAGGGACTCTTGAGATTACACCAGAGACTTTCCTTTTTAATAAATCAAACCTTTTGATGATTTGGGGTCTTATCTGCAAAGTTTTGGAAGCAGTCACAAATGAGACCTATTATAAAATGGTGTTTTGGGGGTTTTTTTCTGGACAGTATTTACAAGAATCTGATTCTTATTTCCCAGGGAAATTCTGGGCTCCCACAAAGTGAAATCATCATCATAGAGAAAAAAATGAGCAGGAACAGTTCTTGCTCCAGAATTGTACAATAGTCACATTAGGTTGATGATTTTTTTTCTCTCCTTTTGCAATTGAATACATTTTTCATGCATGTTTTCCAGAAAATAGAAGTGAGTATTAATGTTATTAAAAAGATTATTTTTTTTATTAAAGGCTATTTATATTATAGAAACTATCATTAATATATATTCTTTATTTACATGATCTGTCCCATAGTCATGCATTGTTTTGCACCCCAAAATTTTTATTGTTCATAGCAGCATGGTCAGCTTTTCCCTTGGTCTGTGGGTGAGGCTTAGGCACCATCCCATTTATACCAATGACTAGTGTATAACTAACTACTTAAGGAGAACAGATTAAAGTTTATCTCCTTTCCATTTATTTCTTTATGTTTTCACATAAATCCACCATCTTCCATCCTGTTTTATAGTTGAGAATGTGTCAATCATATGAAATAGTTACCAAAATTAACACAACTTAGAGTATCTTCCTGATTGCTTAAACCCCTCTACCGAGGTTTGCTCATGAATAATACTTTATAATATGGGGGAATAGAAAACATGAACTTTTTACCTTGTTAGGCTATTTATCCAATAGCTCAATAATAAAAGTAGAACCTTTAAACTGTTTTAAGATCATGTTCCATTTCCAAGTGGTCAGGACTCACTCTCCAACTTTATTAAATTGCATTTAAGCACAGGATACATTCTTAAACATTTTGAAAACATTAACCCAAGACATAGGGGCTAATGCTAGTCATCATTATAGAATCTGATATTTTACTCAGTATTTGAAATGAATGATTAATGTCCTAGTAAATAGCTTTAGCAAATGTCCAGGTGCCACACCAGAAAAGTGCAATAATTTACTGACAGTTTTCTAGATTAGGCATATTATTGGAATACTTTATAAAAGTGCACATTGTATACTCTAGTAAAACAGCATCACTTTAAAAACTATCCATTAATGAAATCAGTTACCTATAGTAGAAGTCTTGAATTGTGAACAGGGGACTCTAATACAGATACTCTTAGTATTTGACTATTTTAGGACCCTTAAAGGGCATCATTATTGGAGATTTAGGTACTTCACTAAAGCATGTATATAATATTGCCGACAAGAAAAATAAATTTGAAGATTAAAGGAACTTATTTCTGTAAACTGTCTTGGAATAAGTAAGAAGAGTTAAACTCCATTTTAAGTGGGAAACCAGAAAGATTCTTTTGCAGATACAGAAGATTTCAGAAGATTTATTAAAACTTCATGATTAACATGTTGGGTCTTTTAGATATATTCAGTTAGTACACACTGTCCCAGTCTTTATAACAGGGATTGATTACAAGATAACTCAGTGAAATGGTACACAAATATGAAACTTTGATGGAGGACAAAAAGATTTTACAGAGAACTGTGTTTTATCCAAGTGCCAAAAAAGCCTTGCACTTCCTTGCACAAAATTTATACAATTTTTATATTTTTCACCTCAGTCCAGAGAGATTTGTCCCCACCCTTCCCATGGGACCTCTCCACCATTAAAACACAAACCACAAGCTTATTTCATCATTTACATTTATTTTCAAGAGTTATCACAGCCAAATTAATTGTTTGAATTATTTTATTATTTTATAAGAATATAGATAGTGATTTAATTAGAAGCAAAGTAAAATTTAAACAAATTGAAGCAGAGTTTATGGAAACTACCTTAAAAAGTAAGGGACAAATGGATAGGCAATACTGAGAAAGCAAGGAACCAAAAACTGAATTGAATGCTCATGGGGTGAAGGAGATCGTGTTTCAGGTCAAGGATCATACAACCATTTCTGGGTATTCAGTGTCCCAGATCAAATCCCGTGAATCAGACGACTGACCATCCTTGTCATTGAATGTGGTATATGACTGACTATGGACTCTACAGTTTCATCTGGGCACTTGAGAACTATTTCCTTCATGACAATTTTGGAGGGAAAAAGAAAAGCAGGCTTGAAGAAAATAAAGCCTAATTTTGAACACATTTTAGCAAGAAATAATCAACTATTTGAAAATTATGCTTTAACTTTTTAATCATTTTCAGCTGTACAAATTGTTTATTTTGAAGATTTTAGACTGCTGTTAATTTGAAATCTGTTAATCATATTGTGGAATTTGGTTTTTTAAAAAAATATGTTTCTAATTGGATTTTTTAAAGAGGAATGGAATTTGGTCACTATTTTACAATAGAACCTAAACCTTTTGTGGTTCTTAATGTCTTCTGTAAAACTTAGCATCAGAGCAATCAACTTTGAGGTTTTCCCTTCTAATCTGCTTTATATTACAAGCCCTTTAGGAAAAGGGAAACTGATGAATATACAATGAATTGTAAAATATTTTAATGTGTAACTTTTTCAACTGTGAAACTATGACTATTGGTTTTTTGATGAAAACAGCTGCTGACAAAGTATTTTGTGTAAAGTGTAGTTCTTATTAATCAGGAAAATAATCAATGACTTGTTTATACCCTTTGGGATTTTATTTTAAATGGATTCATGATTTTCGCATAGGTAAAACACAGTCCATCTGTATTCTTTTTTCCATCAAAAATTGAGTTGTTTGGCATTGTTAAAAAATGTGAACAGCCCACCTTATTTTAAAGGCACCATGGAAATTTCACAGCATACAACTTGGATTTGTTTCTTCATGATTATTTTGTAAATCCATTTAACTTCTATTCTGACCAATAGCACATGCTTGCCAACTCTTTGAAGAAATTTAATTCCCAACATTATTTAAAGCAAGCGGGTTAACTTTCTGAATATTATAAGTTCTTTTTGTTTCTATGTCTGGACAAACTGCAGACCTGGGCTGGACCCACACATTCAGAATCCATCTTAAAAATTGATTTGGATGTCCAGGACATCGCTAAAATATTTCAATTTAAAGGCCATATGTTGTGTTAATGGATTGTGGTGCTTCTATTTAAAAGCAACTTTCATACTTAAGATGTTTTTGAAGAGGGAAATGTGGAGGGAGGGGGCAGAACAGGGGAGTTGTTTGAATGGACTGCATTCTTCATATCCATCCTGCTCAGATGGGGCACTAAGAGAGGGCTGCAAGTTGTGAGAGTATATTGTGCTTACCATGAGGGAATTAGCTCTTCATCACAGATGGGCTTGTGAAGGCGGAACTTTAAAATTCAGTAATTACAGGATCCTCAGATAATAATTCTTGGTGACAGAATAATACAGCTGGGCTGTTTTTTAAACTATAAACAAACCATTTTTATTTTTTAACTGTTACATTAAAAATTGTAAATGTATCTTACGTACCATGGCCTGGGAAGCCTTTTTTCTTTTCTTTTAAAAGTTGTTTTCACTTTCTGAAAAAGATTGTGGGGTTTAGCTAGAGATAGTGATGGTCCTGATAAAATTGAATCAGTGACACTACCTCAGAAGGTTAATAGGGGAAAAAATAAATCATAGTTAATGACTTCAGGCTCAGACATCTTCAGAGCACTGTATTTTAGATTTATATAGTCAGTTGGCATGCCCTGTTTTTGGTAATAGTGGAGATATTTTAAAAAAAGTTCTTTAGGCTAAACTTAAATCCTTGCTCCGGTTATGTGGAAAGGGCTATTATGCCAAGAGGTTTGTGGTACGAGGCTGAGCATTTAAAGTTAGTTTTCTTCACTCTCATTCATTATTAATGAAGTTGCATATGCACTGCTTGCTTGACCTGGTCAAGAGGCACCTCTTGAACATCAAGGTTCTAAAATTCACAAGAGTTTAGTATTTATTGGGAATGTCCCAAATTTGGCATGTCAGCTTTTAAGTAAGCTCGTCTCATTCAAATACTCCACTTGATAAAGGTTTTGCACTTTTATCTGTGCAGCGCCATTTCTTTTGCTTTCTTTTAGCTATGTTAATATTACAGCCATACTTGTTGGCATAAAGTACCATGATGAGCCTTAAGGAAATTTTTTGACTTACTTTTCACACAGGTACATACAGGTGTGTTAGCTGGTGGAGGGAGGCAGACCAGGAAGTAAAATCAGTCCATTGCACATTTAGTGGAATTACGTAACTAATTTTCACTACCAACAGGAGACCCCATTCCTCGTGTTACTAAGTATGGAAGGTTTTTAATGCACTTTGTAAGCCAATTAAGTTTGTGAATCTAACTGAAACTTATTTAATCTGTCACTACAATGATTTTGTGGTTATGCTAAGAGCCAGTATATTTTTTGGTGACCCTTATATTTGTTAAACCTAAGTTAGCAAGGAGGCAGAAAACCGTCACTGTTGTACATTTTCTCAAAATATCATTCATAAAACTAAACTCCTTAGTTATATGAATTTGCAAATGTGGTCATTATCTCTTGATTTCATAAGAAAAAGCCCTTCAGATTTAGTTTCTATTCCTAAAAAAAGTGGTTGGAGAGGTTGGCCTTCATCAGGTTTCTAGAAATGTTTTCGGTTATGGAAACTAAGTTTCAAAAACAATGGTTTCCATGTGAGCCAGTTCTTGGACTAAATTGGGCTGAATAAAGTCTTAAGAGTATATATCCTTTTGGGACTAGCATAACACTTGAATATCTTGAGGAAGAGGCACTACAAAAAGAAGACTACTAATACAACATATGTGGACTTTGGAAGCTTCAAAAAGGAACTCCCACCAGGCTTGTTAGCCACATTTATTGTAGCAAATCTATTTCTCTTTATTTTGTTACTCAATGAACTGAAGTCCTGTGGTATACTGCATTAGTTAGGAGAAAAATGTTTTTAAATGTTCTTTTAATGATGGCCCAAAAAGTATTTGACACAGCAAGATGCATGTGCTGAGGCTATAGAATAATAGTGTCTCAATAAGACCTCTTCCCAGTCTTGCTGTTCTTAGCAAGACATTTGGCCTGTGACTGCACTTATTGTTTGTGCTCATCAGAAAATGTCAATGTCTGCTTTTCCTTAACTTTGCAGTCTGTAACATCACGCTGTTTATTAAAAAATAATAATAATAACTTTGTGTCCAAACAATCCTTAGCGCACTATATATTTTAAACAAACAAAAAGTTGCGATCATTATATGTTGCCATTTATTTTGAATACTTACAAGCAAACCTGTGTGACTAATAGTCAAATTTTAGCTGAATTGGAGTTCTTATCAATAATGACTAAGAATAATTATTGAAAACCTGAAACTATGATGATGTCTTAAAAACCAATTTTTCTGCCCCAGTAAAGTGATGATTAGAGAAATATCTGTTTAAATATTAACTTCCTTTATGCACAAAGAATTATATGCTTGTATTTTAAGCAGAAATATATGTGTACATGTACATGTATCAATGTCTTTATATGTGGGATGGGTATCTTTTCAGTCAATTGAAGACCAAAAGCTGAAAGTAAAGTTAGGTTAGAAGCAAATTGGTTTTGCTTTCACTTGCAAACCTTGCAAAAGGGAAGCCTGGATTTTTCTTTGACCGGATATGTACATGGGCATCACTACTTTGCACTTCTAAGCAATTAGCATGAAATAATTGCTTACATTTTATTTATTGACCAAATTGCTTAAATTTTGTTTATTGATCCAAATTCACACACTTTAGGGTTCAAATTAATGGTTTTTAATTTGTTAGAAGAGTCCCAAGAATTGTCTATTGTTAAAGGGGTGTCAGACTTACTAAAAATAGAACAGAGAGGTGTCCTTAATTTAAGAAAACTACAGAAATTCAATTTGCAGAATGATTTGATATGGTACCCAAGGCTCACTGATTTATTTTTTACACCATGTGTAAAAAAAATACACCATTGTGTATATTTTAATAAGAATTGCATATATTTAAGGTGTATGTATGATGATTTGATGTACAATATCCATATACAAAATGAATGATTACAACAGTCAAGCTAATTAACATGGCATCTCACAGTCACTCTGTGCATGAGATGAGAGCTGGCAGAGCTCTAGTATTCGGTACAGTATTATTGACTATAGTCACTAAGCTGTACAGTAAGTCTCTATTTATCATATAACTGAAAGCTTGTAACCTTTAGCTAACATCTCCCCAATTCTCCCACCTCCCCATCTCTGGTAACCACCATTTGCTTCTATTTGTCTTTTTTTGATGCTACCTATAGGCGAAATGCAGTATTTTTCCTTTCTGTGCCTGGCTGTATTTAATGTAAAGCCCTTAGTTCATCCATGTTGCTGCAAATGGCAGGTCTCCTTTTTTAAAGCTGAGCGATAATCCACTGTATGTGGATTTGGTTATTGTTGCAGTAAGCAGGGGACTGCAGCTATCTCTTACGGGTACTGATTTCATTTTCTTTGGGTATGTATCTATAAGAGGGATAAATTTGACAAAATATCAAAATTTCACAGAAGATGTTTTTATCTACTAACCTTTTTCACCATTCAATCAGGTGCCAGGAACTATTAAGCCAAGTGTCTCACTCTACCTTGTCCACTCCTTAAATTAACACCACAAAAGAAGAGCTTATCTCCATTTTATAGATGTGAAGAGAGAGGTGCAAAGAATTCAACTGAATTGCCTGAGGCTATATACCTTTAAAGTTGTAATTAATAGCTACAAATTCAAACAAATCCTACCCTGAGACACATGTTCTCTCAAATATTCCACACTAGAAAGAAAACACCAAAATTGTTCATTACTGGTCAAATCAATGTCATCTATTGAATTTTATTCAAACTATTTGGTAGTTTGTGACTTGAGTTTAATTCATAAAAGGAAATTGACTTAGAATCAAAGTTTCTGGTTTGATTACATATAAAAGTTGCTTCAAAAGTCAGAGTCTGTTGTGCAGGATGTATTTTTTAGCAAAATTTTAGGATAATTTGAGGCACATTGGCTTTCAGAAGAAGCTATTTTCAAATCCTATCTTCAGCATAATTAATCTGGAAAGCACTTCTTGGGATAATCTTTGATTATTTAATAACCATGATCAACTGATTAAAGTACTAACTATTGTTAACTTCCTACACTGTGGATTATCTGAGAAGAATGTTGAATTCCAACAATTCCAACAGCAACTCCCTGTACTTCAAAACACATTTCTAGTCATCTCTCCCACCCCCACCAGAATGTACACAAAGAATAAAATGAGCTTACAGAAAGCATAATTAAACAAAAAATGTTGCTGAAAGAAAAATTACATGGAACATGACAAGGTTAAGCACAAATAGCTCTCAACTTAGTGAATTTTCTAGGCAGCAGCTTTTTTCCTTTATCATCAATTATAAAGGAAAATGTTAGACCCACATTTTCTAAAATTACCAGATCATTATCTTCCTATAATGAATGGATGGTTTTGTTCTTCACTAAGGATTTTTCTGAGAAACATTTTAATGCAAACTATCAAATTGCATAGAACTAGGCAGATCAGTGTTCAGGTTTAGATAACCTCATTTATTTCCACATTGACAACTTCTAGCGATAGCTGAAATTAGATAAAATGCAACTACCTTGAGCCCCCTCTGTCATGTGAAAATAAAAAGTATTTCCTTGGTTCTTATGGAAACAGTGGAGGACTGTGAGTGCCTTGGTGGTGGGTGTGGTCGGTAACATACACCTAAAAGATGTGAACCTGTACCTCTAAATCATATACAGCATTGTAAACAAATATTGCTTCAATTTAAAAAAAACAAATAAATAAATTGAAGTCTCATTTGAACCAGGAAAAAAAAAATATTGAGAGAGTAGAAAAGATGGTGAATTTGTATCTCATTACAGAATAAATAGAATGTATAATAGGGCTTTTAAGAATTTTTCTTTCTACATGAAATATCATACTTAATTTTAATTGCCTCTACATGGTTAGTTTGTAATCAGGCATAATTAGGACCTCCGGTGCAGAATTGCAGGTATCTGAAGGCCAGGACTTTAGTTTGGCCACCACTTAAGGACTTCTCTGCTCTTTCCTTTGCTCCTCCCCACATTCAACAGTTTGAGTTGATGTTGTTCCATATAGGATACTTTGCCACCTACCTCATCTCTGTGTGCAGAGCTATATTTCTCACACAGTAGGGACAGATACTGTGTTAATCTCACCATGCCAACAATCAGAGCGCCACCTAGCAGAGTCAGTGAAGGCCAAAATAAACAGTGGAAGATAACCATTTGGTCGTACTTTTTTATGAGAATGACATCTTCAGGTTGTCTGTCTGGGCTGTAGAAGCATGAAAAGGGGGTCCCATTTTTGTGATCGAAGAATTCCTTTATGTCCAGAGCACTGTTGAGCAAATCCTTCCTATCTCGGTGGCATTTAGGTGTGTAAAAGCACTAGGAATATGGAGGAGGAAGAGAGATGAAGGCACTGTCCCTGATACCAAACACTTAAACAAAAGTTTTAAATCTGAAATAGCTTCAAACTGAAGCTGGTAGGGTGGAGTTTTAATCTCAGAAGATGAGAAAATCTATTCACAGCGCATGGGGAGAGCTGGTAGGAGGACACAGTGACATAGCCATTTCCAGGCAAGAAGCAGGGATGTGGAAAGGAATTCTTAGAATAAACACATTGCAGAAGAGGTAGTGACCAACTTCATAAAGACCATGCTCCTCCCCACATGCAGATCCTCAATCTCTTCCTGGATAGTAATTCAATGAATCCATTTGTCCAATCAAATATTTATTGAGCTCTCTGTATGCTTGCAACACCTAATAATCAATGCCTCTATGGTCTCTGTCTTGGTTACCTGTAGTAAAATCTTTCCCTAAAGATTAGCATTTTTTTAAATATTTATGCATACAAGAACTGGGGTACAGGCCAGAGGGGTGTGTGTGTGAGAGAGAGAGAGAATATTCACCAGAGACAGAGTGGGGAACAGAACAGGCAGACTGAAATACACTGCTGAGGGGAACAGCAGGCGAGACAGAAGAGGTCTGCTGTGCCATGTGGTTAGCTCTCTGGCCAGCCCAATGCTGTGTTTAACCCCTTGCACCACCAGGGAAGCCCTAAGATTAGCATATTAGCTTTTGCCTTAGACTCACTGAGGGGGCCCTACCTAGTCTGCCATAATGCCTGGGAGGCAGAACTAGGGGAGAAGGGAGCTCTATCAGCTGGTGTTTTTTGTTTTTTGTTTTTTTTTCAATAAAGCTTCAGGTTTTTAATATATCTACTAGTACTTAGACACTGTGTCAAGGCCTACAAAAATATTTGAGACCTTAGAAATAATGCATCAAATATAGAGTATAGAAATCAACAGATGGAAAATTAGGACTTAAGTAAAAACAACTAGGTGTAAAATGTCAACTAATTTGGTAAAACTCAACTTTATCATAAGGTGGAAATGTAAACTTTAAATCATATGAACCAGTTGACTAACTTATTAAAAATCAAAGTTATAATTTAAATTTTTGGATAAGGAAAATCACTTGCTTGATTTAAAGTAGATGGTAAGTACATATTCACATTTTTGATGTGATGGAGAATGGGACCTCTGCTAATAAATCCTGTGTTCTTTGCCTCCAGACAACTATTTGTGAAATTAAAATAATTTCTCACCTGTCTATGCACCCAATTATTTTTCTTAAAAAAAAAAAGTCACTTCAATTTAAAAAAATAAAAAAAAAAAATACCATTTCCTGTTAAAATATAATAAAATCTCAGTTAAACAGCTAAAAAAATGCTTCTAGCTTCATTTATGCTCATTTGACCACTGGTCAGACATTTCACTGGAAGAAGGTAGATTTATCCCTAGAGATGGCTCTGGCTATTGCACCCTGCCAGGGACAGTCTGCAACAAAAAGGTGTCTATATTAGAACACTAAATTATATCAAATTTACATTACCTTGCTGTTTATCTGCACAGCCTCTTCATTATAATGTAGGAGAACTTTCTGACCTGAATGGGTAAGATTCACAAACACCTGAAGACACGGGTACTTGCCCTGACCTCTGCAGTCCACACCACAGGTGAAGGCACAGGCCATCCACTCATCCATGATCTGTGTGTAGATGATAGTGCAGTTTGATTCTTCTCTCTGAGTGCTTCAATTGAAAAAAAAATTAATGAAAATTTAGCTCTAGATTTCTAATGTGGAAACCCAAGGCATTTGTCTATTTCAAGGTGACACAAGACCATTACAGAAGGCACAAAATGACTAAAGAGCCTCAAGGATATTAAGACAGATAAACAGCAGTAAATCCCCAAGTTCCCTCAATTCTTTTTTTTAAAAAGATTTATTTATGCATACAAAAGCTGGGGTACAGGCCAGAGGTGCGGGGGTGAGAGGATTCGCCAGAGACAGAATGGGGAGCAGAACAGGCTGATTGACTGAAATACACTGCTGAGGGGAGCAGTGGGTGAGACAGGAGAGGTCTGCTGCACCATGTGGGCAGCTCCCTGGCCGGGGATCAAACTCGTGCTGCAAAGGCTTCGGATAGCTTCACAGTGCTGTGCTTAACCCCTTTTGCCACCAGGGAGGCCCTCCCTCTCAATCTTTTTTTTTTTTAATTTATTCATTCATTTATTTATATAAGCACTGGGTATAGTCAGAGGCATGGGAGGGTGAGAGAATTCACCAGAGCCAGAGCGGAGAGCAGAACAGGCAGAGTGACGAAGTACACTACCGAGGGGAGCAGCAGGCGGCAGGAGAGGTCTGTGCCACCATGTGGGACCCTCGCCTGGCGGCCGGGTTCAAACCAGCACTGCAAAGACTGTGGGCAGCTTCGCAACCCAGTGCTCAACCGCTGCGCCACCGGGGAGGCCCTCAATTCTTTTTTTTTTAAAGATTGATTTATTTATGCATACAAGAACTGGGGTACATGCCAGAAGTGCAGGGGGGCGGGGGGGTAGGGTGAGAGGATTTACCAGAGACAGAGTGGGGAACAGAACAGGCAGATTTACTGAAATACACTGCTGAGGAGAGCAGAGGGTGAGTCAGGAGAGGTCTGCTGTGCCATGTGGGTAGCTCCCCGGCCTGGGATCGAACTCTCACTGCAGTGACTGTCGATAGTTTCATAGGTTGTGTCTTAACCCCTTGCACCGCCAAGGAGGCCCCTCCTTATCAATTCTTAACCCAATAGAAAAACTTAATGGTCCTCAAATTGCAGATTCACCAGAGTTCTTTAGAATGAAGAATTTGTTAAACTATGGATTCTATGTCTTAGCTCCCAGATATTTGGTTCAGGTATCTGAGTTGAGGCTCAGGAATCCACGTATTGAACAGTATTTAAGATGCAGGTGTCTGTAGAACCACAGTTTGAGCTGTACTCACCGAAATACTCTACCAAGCTTCACACACACTCAGAAATCTCTCACGTCTCATCATCTCCAGATGCACCCATTGGCTGATGAAAATGTACCTTTGGAAGGAGTCCAACTGCAGCGTCCTTTAGTCAAGGTAAGGTACAGAAGTTTGGAAATGAGGTACAAGTCTATATGCCCACTCTTCTTCCAAAGAAACTCTCATTCCCAAGGAATCACTCATTAAAAAACCTACCATGTTTTTGCTATTGATAAGTTCCTCGAGGTCCTCTGGACTCACCCCATGTCACAGGATCCTCTGAGTCCAGTGGCTATCTGAACTTCTCTTAGTTTATTCTCCCCAGTGCAAAGCAGGGAACTTACTCTGACATCATCCTCCCCCATCAACAACAAAATGTATTTCTAAATTCATTTAAAATAATCATTTCTAAAAATATCTTAGATCTGTCTGTTTACTTGTGATAGAACTTAAGCTCTCTAAAGCCTAATCAAGTGTGGCATTGAGTATAATTTAAATCTGGTGGATTTCAGGGCCTCCCTTGTGACACAGGGGTTAAAGACACAACACTATCAAGCCACTGCAGCACAAGTTCGATGGAGGGGGTTTAATGGGGGTATAATAGGGAACTATGGGTGACTTGGTGGTAGGTGTGGTGTGGTCATATACATCTGAACATTTGTGATCCTATACATATGAATCATACAATACTGTAAGTCAATATTACCTCAATTTTTAAAAAATCATGAGAGATGAAAACTTAACATTCTTAAACATTCACTTAATTGCTTCAAAAATACTAGAAAAGTAAAATTTATAAGTACAATTTTGTGCCAGACTGCAGAAGTTACCCTCAAACCACCTCCTAACTTACATACATTTATGAGGTTCAGACCACAAACTTGACTCTGAGCTTCCTAACAATGAAGAAAATACAATGAAATATAAGACACCAGGTGTCCATTGAATAAAAGTAAGTTGGTTGATCAGGCGCAAAACACATTTTCCTGGTGCTAATATCAAAGAGAAAATTCCTTGGGATCCCTCTACTAGTGGCCCTGTATGCTGAAGTGATGGTGACAGCCATTTATTGTCCCAACGATGGTAACTCAGGAATGACAGGAGATGAATCTGATAAATAAAAGTTGACACCCACTTTCTTTTCTATGACCCCTTTTCTCTAGTTCACTTCTTCCTTCAGCTTCCTCCTTCCCATTCCCCAAGGACCTTCTGTTGTTCTTTGGCTAGCCAAAGAGAAAGCATCCCTTGCTTACCCACTACCAAGTATTCCCCTCCTACAAAGTACCCCGGTCAATGTGTGAGCCATCCTCCAAAATTAAACAGCTCATCCCTTTGACCTAAGCAAAACTCCCATCCCTCTCATTGCTGCAAGCTTCATTTAGAAGACAAGAAGTCTTGTCAGAACAACAAGTTAGTTCTTTACTGGCTGTATGACCGACCTTGGGCAAGTTACTTGGTCTTTCTGAATTTCTGCTTTCTTAGTTATAAAATGAATGTTAAAATAATGCTTCCAGCATGAGTTTGCTATAGATTTAAATATATTTATAGTTATATATTTAATAAGTGGTAACTTAATGCACACATTTAAAAAGGAAGCTGATTCAAAGAAAGGGAAAGAAGCTAACATTATTTTTTGAGCAACTATTATGTTCCAGGTAGACAGTGTCAAACTTAATACACTCAGATTCAAATAACTTTTACTGTGCTATGTAGAAGGCTTAAACTAGCCCTTCCCTGTTACCTGCATGTCCAAGGGAGAATATTTACCTAAATAAATATCTAATTGGTGGATTCATTGTTAAATATATTTTTGATATTGGAATGCGGTAGCCACAAAGGAATATCTTCCACTTTCTTACACCTCTTCCTCCATGCGCTGCTACCCCCAGCACTGAGGGAGAACCAGGTGAGTCTATCATCTCTGTCCTAGACAAAGGTCAGGGGAGCTGGGAAATCAAATCCAGTTTCCCCTCCCCTACCATGTGCCTGGCTCTGATCAGAATTGGGAAATCTGGGTCTCCTTTCTCTTTCCTTACCTGAGCATGAAAGGTTTTAGGATGGTTATTCCAAGCAGGAAGAACATTAGGACTGAGAAGCCCATCATTGCAAATCCTAGCAGCAGGGCGCGGTCCTCTCCAGCACTGGACGGCCACTTCCTGTGCATGTCCAGTAGGTCGCCATCATTTTGCTCTGTATTTCTCTTCCTCCCGGAAGAAAAGGCTGTCCTTTGAGAAAAGTGGAAAAGAGATATTTCAACAGGCTCATGAAGAAATGAGAGCATTTACCGATCCAGAGGCAGGCGAGGAGGCATGGTCGCACCTGCCTTACCTGAATGTTGCCAACAGGTAACCTGCAACAGAGAAAGCCCACCTTCAGAGCTTGGGGACAAGTCCGTCTAAACAACATATATGTTACTTTAAAACTTCTCTTTAATATAACAAATAATACTAAGTAATATTGCCAGGTGGAAGCCTTTGAGATCTATTTAATCAGTGTTTCATTTATTTTACACTTATTCATAAATAAGTATTGTGAACTGAATTATCTACCAGGGACACTACATAGTCCCACTGGAATTATTTTTTACATTCTTTTATGAATGCCATATGGACAAAATGACTCAAAAATTTCACATTGGGAAGTCACAGCATCCTGAAATAGTAAGATTTGACTTGTTCATTCACATCCAGCGGTTGGTAAGGCAGCGTAGCTAGCATAGAGCTCCCTGGCCCACGGCCCAGCACACTCAGAAATACCCAGGACTTCACCACTGTCTCCTCTTCCCTCACCCCACATTTCATCCTCTCTGTCCACTCATGCATGGACATGAGTGGCCCTACATTTCTTTTTTCCCTCTCTCTGCTCCACTTCAGCAAAGGATGTGATTAATTCTTTGACAACGGGCAGAGTGTGGGGGGAGGTCCAGAGAACAGTAAAGTCCAACACAGAGATAACTAACCAGTGACTTCCGGACCATATCCAGGCCATGGTGTGTTTTGTTTGACCTTGTTTGACCTGCTATGTGTTTGGGTTTTTTTTGTTTTCTGTTTGTTTTTCTTTTTTAGTTTCTTTAAAAACCACGAAATTTATCATAAAAATGCTGTTTTCTGACTTTAAAAAAAATCACAAGTGCCACATTCCTGCTTTTGAACAGCTGGTCAAACCAAACAGCAGCTGCCCCTGTGGGCATGAATCTCTTTTCCAATTCGCTCCAGTCCCGCCCCTTCCTGTGGTCAATGTCACTAATTTGCTGTTCTCTGCTCAGTAGGCATTGAATCCCAGGGGTATATCCATTTTAAGTGGCTAAACAAAATCTTAAACCAAAGAAATGCAGTTCTAATGGTAGAAACTCAGGCTCCATCAAACTGCACAAAAGCTTACTATATCTTGAAGTCAAGCAAAAACCCAGACAAAGGAGTTGCTAGTTGTTTTTTTCCAAAAGTATTTTATACTTCACCCCACATCCTTCTTGCTTCTCTGCCTAGCTCCCTTGCTCCCTTGTTCCCTAGCAATATTTGCAGACTCCAAAGAGACTGAGGAGAATCACATTCAGTCCAGGGTGTTCCAGGAACCCCCACTGGGGAGCCATGACCTCCAGAGATGACTGCCCCTTGCGGTTAATAAGACTCTGGAAATCAAGGACCTGGTTTGGGGATTTTTACTCTACTCTGATATTTTACTTATCCTCTATCATCCCTCCCTCAAGAGAAGTGGCAGGGGAGAACTTTAAATAAAATTTGAGCAATTTTATAATTTATCAACAACTATGATTCATTGATTAAGAAGAGTTTTAGCCCTGAGGTAAAGTTTGGATGTTTTGTAGGTCTCCAATGCCCAACTCCCTTAAACTGGACTTTAGTTGCTTTATATTGTTAGGTGTTCTGAGGCTTATTGTAAGATATCCATGAAATCCATGGTGGAAGAGGCTTATTATGCGATCTCTCCAGCATTTCTGACATATTAACTCAACATGTTCAGTTGTAGCTGCATGATGAAAAACTGGCATAACCTGATTCTGATCTAATTTAGGAATAAGACAAACCTGGCCATATTTTTTCTTTCTGATATTTCTGTCTATTTTATTCCCTTATGAAAAGTTGTCCCCCTCAGAGAGCCCTCATGAAGAAGTTATTCATTCACTAAAAGTGAATAGATACATTTTTATTATTGTAATACTGATAGGCTTCTATTTCACTAGCATGTGAATAGGACATTTACTCTAAGTGCAAACAACTAAAAATTCTAGTCAAAGGTTTTTTTTTTTTTTTTTAAAGAAGAAATACCCAAAGGACCAAAACTATGTAAAAGTAGAAACCCAGAGAGGAAAGAAAAAAAAATTACAATTTCCCCTGAGATTTGTAACCTTAAGGTGAACCTCAGGATAATTTATAGCTTGAAGTCACTACATGGGAAATCCCAAAACCCCAAGCTGAGGATTTCATTTAACATTATCTCAAGCAGGTAGTGCCCTCTGGCACCTGAGAAAAACAAACATAACATATCTGAAGGAATTCACCTCCAACTCAGGCCTTAAGAGAATTTTATGTAGTTTCAGAGAGTACTACTCCATTCAGAAGTCATAAAACAGAGGCCCTCCCTGGTGGCCTAGGAGTTAAGTCTCCACGCTATCACCACTATGGCCTGAGTTCCATCCTGGGCCAGGGAGCTAACTCACATGGCACAGCAGACCTCTCCTGTCTCACTCGCTGCTCCCCTCAGCAGTGTATTTCAGTAGATCCACCTGTTCTGCTCCCCACTCTGTCTCTGGTGAATCCTCTCACCCCTCAAGCCTCTGGCCTACACCTCAGCTCCTCTACAATAAATCAATATTTAAAAAAAAGAAATTAAAAAAGTCATAAAACACACAGTGTCTTTGAATGGAAATAAAGTAAGCAGAATCAGATCCATTAAAAAATTTCAGCTGTTGGACAGATGATAAAAATGATTTTGCAATATATTTGAAGAAATAACACGAAGATTGAAAATACCAGAAAAAGCAAAAGACTAAATTATTACTATGCCAATTTTTTTAAAAAATCCAACTGAATTTCTAGAAATGAAAAATACAATCATGATTATAAAAAAATGAAAGGACAGAATTCACAGTAGACTAGATACAACTGTAAAGATAATTGTAAACAGAGAACTGGACATGTAAAATAACCAAAGTATGATACATAGAGATTTCCTGAGTAGAAAATATCAGAGAGGTTAAAAAACCTGGAAGATAGATAAAAGCTCTTTAAAAGGCCTATTCAGTTTCAAGAATTAAAAGAGAAAAAAAGAAATATTACAGACAATACTTTTAAAAAATAACAGTATTCCAGAATTAATGAAAACTGAGTCCAGAGATTCCAGAAGCCCAGGGGGATAAAACTGTTTAAAAATACAATTAAACAAGATGGCAGAGTAAAAGATGCCAGGCTCACCTCCTCCATACAATCAAAAAAAGATCACAGCAGAAAAAAAGTCAGTAACCCCTAAAGGAAAAATGGACAATTAACAATACAGGCCAGGAACAAGGGTCCAGAGGAAAAGGGTAGAAAAAACTTCAAGTGAAATGTTTACAGTGTTACTAGGGCAGTGCAACTCATGAGAGAGGGAGGTGGCTATGCAAGGAACTCACTACAGTTGCCTATTCTGGGCACACACCAACATACAGAATTTGGAGACCTGGCACTGCACTGGATAAGGGACCATCTGTGGACTTTTCAGTAGAAACATGACAATCAAGAAGAGAAGGGCAGAAGATATATAAGAAATTAAAGAAAAAGATTTCTAATCTAGAATCTCTTAGCCTGCAAAATTAACATGAAAAAATAGAAGTAGAAATAAGAAACATCACTGAAAAACAAAAATTAAAGAGATTTATCAACATCAATCCACATATGAAAACAAAACTATAGGGCGAGACAGCTTTGAAGTTTATCAATCCTCTAACAAGAACTGATACCATCTTGCCCAATTTGTTTTTAAAAATACAAGAAGAGTGAATGCTCCCAAATACATTTCAGAATGCAAATATTACCCTGATACTGAAGCCAAATAACAGGACAAGAACAGAAAATTATAGCTCAATATCCCTATGAACATCTATGCAAAAATTTTCAGCAAAATACTAATAAATTGAAATCAACAGTATATAACTAGAATTATACACCAACTGGGATTTATCCCAGGGATGCAAGACTGGTTTAAAATACATAAATGAATCAATGTAATATATGATATAAACAAAAATAATTTAAAAATCACATAATGTTGGGCCTCCCCGGTGGCGCAGTAGTTGCGCGCTGGGTTGCGAAGCTGCCCACAGCCTCTGCAGCGCGTGTTCGATTTCCGGCTGCTTCCCGGCCACCGGAGGAGGGTCCCACATGGCGCACAGACCTCTCCTGCTGCCCGCTGCTCCCCTCAGCAGTGTACTTCGGTCCCTCTGCCTGCTCTGCTCCCCGCTCTGGCTCTGGTGAATTCTCTCACCCTCCCACGCTCTGACTGTACCCAGTGCTTGCATTTAAAAAAAAAAAAAAGCAATGACATTTTAAAAAAAAAATTACATAATGTCAATAAATACTGAGAATAATATTGATAAGATTTGGCACCCATTTATGATAAAAAAAATTTTAAGAAGATGGAGGCAGAAGAAACTTACCTCAATATAGTAAATATCATATATTACAACAACAAATACAATCCTTAATGGTTAAAAAAAATTTTGAAAGCTTTCCCATTAAGATCAGGATCAAGACAAGGGAATCCACTGTATTCACTTCTATTTAACTTAGCATGATGGGCCTGTTGCAAAGCTGACACAAAAACAGGAAATAAAGGGAATTCAAGTCTCAAAAGAAGACATGGAACTATTTAGAAAAATCCTAAATATTCCACCAAAAAAACACAAGAAACAGTAGATAAATTCAGCAAAGTGGCAGGTTATGAAATCAATATACAAACATCTATAACTTGTTTATATACAAACAACAAACAGAAAATAACTCCACTTATAATTGCTTCCAAAACAATGAAATACCTCAGAATTAACATAACTAAGGAAGTAAAGGACCTATACAACTAGAACTACAAGGCATTATAATAAGGCCTTAATGACATATTGGAATAGAAACATATCCCATGTTTATGGATGGGGAGAACCAATATAATCAAAATGACGACCCTGCCTAAAATGACATGTAAATGTAATGAGATCCCCATCAAAGTTCTGGCAATA